ACGTCTACCTGCAATCGCGTCTGGACTTGACTTGCGAAAACACACACCCCACGCAAGTGGCCTCGCTGTTGTTTCGACTATTACTGACCGTTTCGTTCTCGAGGCAGTCGCGAAACGACGCGTCATGAAGCACGACCACTGGCTCAAGGCTGCGTCTGCAGCTGTCTTGCTTTTCCCAGGTCCTTCGGCAGCTTTCTGGCGACTTCCCTGTCGTGGACGTGCTGGAGTGGCTCGTATAGATCCCTTGATGGCGCCAGGAAGGATCTCTGACCATGTCCACGTTGTCCATGGATCTGGCAGTACGTTTTCTTGACTAAACAAAATGACCTGATCAATATTGTACTGCATCTTGACTCAAGGTCAATGACTGACTATTTCAATGACAGATTTCGCAGAGACAGCTGACCAGGCCACCCTTCGCGAAGCCGACTGCACTTCGTGCGCCGTGACTCAGGATAAGTCTGCCTACTGGACTCCGGCTTTGTACTTTCAGCATGCGAATGGGACGGCGGAGCTGGTCGAGCAAGTGGGCGGTATGCTTGTGTAAGTGGATAGTTATGCCAGTTGTTGATTACGCTCACGCCGCGACTGCTTCCACTAACTGCGACACTGGCACAGATACTACCTCTTGTACGGAGAAAACGTCACTGCATTCCCGAACAACTTCCGCATGATTGCTGGCGATCAGTTCCAGCGAAACTTCACCTGGCCAGTCCCCGATCCGCCCAAGTCGGAGTGGTCCGGCGCTCAGGCATCGCAATTCGCCCTGCGGCAGAAGGCAATCGGTTTCAACTGTCTCAACTACAACGCTGCTCCGGAACCGTCTCTCTATCGCCATTACCTGCCAGACAAGGCGTACTTGGACGAGAACTGCCCGGATGGAGTCCGCTTCGAACTGATGTTCCCTTCCTGCTGGAACGGCAAGGACGTGGATTCCCACGACCAAAAGTCTCACATGGCCTATCCGAGCGAAGTCATGGATGGCGTCTGCCCCGAAGGCTTCGAGACGCGGCTCGTTTCGCTGTTCTACGAAACGATCTGGAACACGTACGCGTTCAAGGACTGCGAAGGCGAGTTCGTCATTTCCAACGGCGATCCGACCGGTTACGGCTACCACGGCGACTTCATCCAGGGCTGGGACCCGGACTTTCTGCAGCAGGCTGTCGATACCTGCACCAACCTGTCTGGAGAGGTCAGCGACTGTCCTCTCTTCGATTTGCAGGACGACGAAGCGCAGGGAGAATGCCGCTTCGATGTGCCGTATGCAGTGAAGGCCGAGGATGTCTTCGCGCATCCCACGGGCATACCGGGAAACGTCCCCATCCAGTCTGGGCCTGCGTACGCGACGGAGTGGTGGACGACGGCGACGAGCACGTCGTCATGCTCGAGCGAAATCTCCACTGGCTTGCCTAGCATACTGCCGACGACCATCACGCCGTCCACAACAGCTCCTTCATCTCCCTCTCCTGCCGCCCCAACAAGCAGCACCTCTTACACGACCGTCTCCGAAGACGTCGAATACGACATCGTAGTCGTGAAGGAAGAAGTCGTCGTTCTGCTCGGCGAAGACGGTGAGCCCGTGGCCACTACGACGGGCAGCCCCCTGACAGTCGCTACATCGACATCCACCTCGTCCACCATCATAACCGAACCTATCGTTCAAGCGACAGGCGTTGCACAGCAGGACCATGGTGCTACAGCCGCAGCCAAACGAGACCAAGTCCCTGGCCACCGTCGCGCGCCTTCGCAAATCCACAACAGACACGGACATGGCCACGCCCATCGAAGAAGGGAGTACCAAGCAGGCGTAGGAGGATGGTTCTGATATAATCACTTGAATCGATGAATCAATGAATGAATGATAAAAAAATAGGAAACAGGTGCACAGCACGTCTGCTCATATACTATTAGTGGGTTGATTGTTAAGATAGGAAATGTGTTGATTTGCGTGGTTTCTTTGACATGGTATAGCAAGCATAGCATAGCAGAGTTTTTTTTCTTCATTTCAGTCTTGTACGCTTATAGCTATTATGAGAAATTAGGATACGTATCCTTTACTACATGGATGATTGCAATTTGCTCTGACAGTAAGCTAAAACTGTCATTCTTGCGTGAATATGACCGAATTAAAAAAAAAAAGAACATGTGTTGCAGATGAAAGAGCAGAATGTGGGAGTTACTTCAAAACGACTACTTTAAAAATGTATCACTTTGCCGTTTCTTTCTCTCCTTTCTCTCTTTTCTCTTTCTTTATGTGATGCCAATGAGAAAAGGGATTCTATGCAGTTATATGGTTCTATTTTGGACAGCCCTTGCTATTAGAGACTGTTCATTCTGACTTTGCGTACTGGAACCAAGACAAATGCTTATCTTAGAAGGTATCGTATGGAGATTTTATGAGTTTGTTGCCACCGTTCTCTTATTGCCTTGGTGCTTATTTTTTTCTTCATGTCTGCCTCACTCATATCGTGATTAAGTCGCACTAAGCTCTCTTTGATTTCTGTCTCAGTTTTCAATCAAGGCCGGAAGGCACATCTCAACGGAAACTTCCGAAAATAATTCAATGCCACAACGCTTTGTGACTGCTGTGTGTTTCACTTCATGAGAGGAGAAAAATTTCCCTTTTTTCTTCTTCCTCCTTCTCTTTCCACACTCTTTTCTCTGTTAAACCCTTTCGTCTCTACTCCAAAGTTGACTTTGACAATTAAGAGGGAAATGGAAGGAACGCCTCCAAACTCGAAGCACACTGCGTCGCCAGAGAGGAGAAGTGATGTCATGCCTCCTGACAGTGATGGTAGCTCTGATGACTCTGATTCTCAGGGAAATCAGCCGGACACACGTACAAGTGGTACTTTCAGAAAAATAAGACGAACCCTGTTCTCGAAAGATTATGTTCCACATTGGGACTCAACGGCAGCTTTTCGTGAATTCTACAGAACTGGTATGTGTGTCTTGAGTACTGTTTTAGATTCAGAATTCTCATCAGCACAGGCGCGATGCCATTATTGTTTCGTTTCAAGTAAAACCCCCCGAGTTTAGACCGGAATACGAGGAATCAGCCAGTGCTATTACAATAAAAGTACTGAAACCTCGAAGACAAGACAGCAGCAGAGATTGTGCTCCGATTATGGGCTACATCAGGTACATCAAGAACACCAAGAGGGTCGAGCTACTAAATGCGAACGCTCGACTTGACCCGAAGCATATTAAACTCGGGAGCAGTTCGAAACACAAAAATAATGTGCTCGCTGGATGTCATGGGGAAGGGTTCAAACTCGCCGCATTGGCTATGTCTCGAGAAAACTACCAAGTTCGCTTCGAAGCCAACAACCTCTATTGGAATTTTGGATTTCGTGGTCCGGAGAAAAACCGTTTCTATGCAACTATCACCAATAGTAAAGGTTTAACCCCGCCATCTGATTCAGAGTGCCAGAAAGCTGTAAAAGGACTCACCGGATTTTCACGACGCCATCCGTTCGATGTTTTGGTTACCATTGGATCTGGACCAAGTGGAACAGCTCGAGAAGTACAAGTGGACGAGTTTCAGCGCTGGTTAGACATCATATTTGATGTTCGTCGTCCATCGGACCCTGCTTCTGTTATCGAAACGGATCACGGAGATTTAATTCTCGATCCAGCTTTTTCTGGAAAATTGTACCTCAAGGGTCTTTTGCTACCGAACGCCAACCAAGCGGCGAAGAACTTCATACAGGGATATAACTTCTTCTATGGAAAGGTCAATAGGGATAGGCAGCGTCTAACAGATTCGAACTAAGAAGCACAAAACTTGAAGAACATATGGGAGAGTGCCATCGATAAAGAGGAGGCTATCTGCCTCCCGAAATTTGTTCACCTCCTGAGATACTGTTCTGAGTATCCCGATATCAGACTGGTCGAGCCACTCTTTGACTCTCGTATTAGAAAGAAAATTTGGAATTTTCTACGTCATGAAGCAAACGATCGGTTATTCTACTACCGCGACAAAAGTGGACACAAGGTAAGGTCTCGGCCATTCTCTGGGATCTACCTTACTAACGTGGAAAAGGAATTCGATCTCATCGAAACAAGCTTAAGGAAGCAGCCAGTTCCGATACCAGAGATTCTTTGGACCTTGCTTCGTCGCGAGGGATTGATTCGGAATGCACACGAGGAGCAAGCTCACATATTCAGAAAGTCCGAGCCATCTCGTTGCCCCTCTGCGATCTTTCCCCGGACAATTCGTCACGCCTTCCAAGCTCTTATGGCTAGAGCATGGTGCAACGGGGATGGTCTGCCGTGTACCGGCAGGGCAGGGTGGAAACATTTACAATCATTACACAGGACAAGATGCCGCATATGCTTGTGCTACTTCTGACCTTGAGCAATCATGGCGGGCCCAAACTGGCCCACCCAGGTAGGTTTTCGTCCTACCGATTGCACCTATCTACGACATTTTTTCTACATTGAGAGAGATATTCTAGAGTTGACTACCAGAACGACAGAACGGGGTGACCTCCTTACCGTGCGCGAACTGGCCCGGCTGCAAGGATTCCCGGACGACTTTGTCTTCTACGGAAGCAAAGAACGACAGTACGAGCAAGTCCTTGAAGCCTTCCCGCCTCCTGTTGCAAAGGCGATTGCGGGTTAGTAATGGCGACGATAGACGATTTTCGTGAACCTATCACCGGCGACGAGATGGATGTCGAGAGTGACACCCAGCGAGGGACCAAGAGGCAGAGGACTGGCTGAAAGGATAAGACAAGCTGGGTTGGGAATGTCTTGGTTTGGAATGCTGGATAGGGAATTGGAAAGGCATGTCTTGCTATCAGGCGATTGATTGACCGCAGGTGATTGGAACCTTTCCGAGTATGGAACCTGCAGATTGGGATTGCGTTCCGTACCTTGGCGTTTGGAATTGGATATGAGATGCAGGAGCAGATTCTCCGATAAAAAGAAAAGAAAAAAAAGCCACATTGCTATGGATGGTAGATTGACAAAACGCGAAAATCTCTAGAACAAATGGAATGTAATCACATCTTCTTACTCCAAGCCTCGGATTCTACGGTGGTAGAAGTACAAAATGCTCTTCCAGATTGGGAATGGGAGACAGCGATAATGGAAGTTGATAACAATGAATAAAAGTAATGATCTGACAGTTACAAAGGAGCTTCATAAATGAGGACATACTTCGGAAGTGATTTGGACTTCTGGAGCCAGAAAAAACTTTTCTTTTTCTTCCTTTTTGATAATCAAAAGTTCTGCATCCAAGCCCTCTTCTTTAAGAACATGGCTTGAGGAACACTCCAGAGACGTCTGGTGGAAAGTGTGAAGGAAACAGTCATAAGAGGTAACAAAGCGTTCACATACACCACGATGTATGTACTGTACAAGCCTTCCAAATCACATCTGACTCGCAGTTAAACCTGACTTTGACATAATCTTCAAACAGCATCAGAGCGATAGTTTCTGAGTCGCGAGTCTTTTTCTGCAGAAGGTAGACTTGTTGTGCTTGGAGCAGAGTGACGAGTCATCATCATCACTTTCGTCAGAAGTTGTTGATGATGTTCCATTTGGACATGTCTTCATAATCGTTTCGCTTGCTGCAGTTGGCAAGACTACCCATATCCACTTTTCCGAGTGCTTCTCTTACATTGCATATACTCTTGATTCGGAAGCACTCTTGATTCGGAAGCAAGAGATGGATGGAATGTTCTGAAAAGTTGTTCGTTTTCTTTTGTGACAATTGGTTCCATAGATGCTCTTGCTGCAGCAACATCCAAACGGCTCCAAGATGTTGAGCGTATCCGCTGGCAGCAAGACTGAATGATTGCCGTAATCATGGTCACTTAGTTAACCTGCAGCCGCGGACATTGCCACAATTCTGTTCAAGTACCATTGCATTTCTAGCAATGAGAAACTTCGAAGAGGCAGTAGCTCAGGACCAGTGAATTTGGAGGCTTGATGAGGCAGTGCCGATATAGATTGGCGACTTCAAATAACATAGGAATTCGAGTCAAAGCGCATGCTTTTCTGTCTCTCTCGCGAGCGAGCTTTGTCGGCTTCTTTTGCTCTCCCTCCCCGGGGGCTGTCAGTGGAATCAGACTCCGCAGAAGATTGTGAATACGCTGACGCAGCGCAAAGCGGTCAGGTCAACAGTATTGTTCAGACCATACTACTGACGAGGTTGCCAACCAATGAAAGAAGTTCTTGGTAGAGGAAGATGTTGAGGGTCAGGCGTTTCGAGAGTGAACTTTTGGCCTGATTTGATTCAGGAGAAGTTGTTTGGCGAATATTCAAAGATAATTTTGTATCCCTCGACTTTGTCGAGGTTCCGCGATGAGGGAGGTATCTTTCTGAGTTCGACAATATTATCTGCTCTGTGATTCTGGTTGCCAGTACCATTTCACTTCCAGCTTCGATTTGTATATCATGGTTGTATACAAGCAGGCCATGAGCAAAGAGACGCATTGATCACGCTTTATGAATGCTCGGCTGCAGATAAATCATATTGAAGCACGCATCGTAAGTCTTAGTATAATCGTTGAGATCTCGAAAAATTTCTTGTTGCAACCGTTGAACTTGTTCTTGTTCGAGTTTCTGAAGGACTTCAAGTAACTTCCAGAAATCTAGGATCGACTGGGCGAACGCATTTAGAGGCCTTCGCGGCGTCAATTAAGCAACGAGGATAATGGGTATATGTGTGCAACTTCGTAGTAGCTGCCACAATACCAGGATTTCTTTTTCTGACAAGCTGATGTGGTCCTTTCGAACACAGTCGATCAAACAAGCAAGTCGATCAGTAGCCGTGTAAATCCAGTGTCGGAGAATGTCGCACAAGCAGCCCCAGCTCTCGGTGCAAGTCGTACTTGCTCCACTTGTCTGGGTTCTGTTCAGACGAGGCATGATTTTGGGCTCTCAGTCGCAGGTTATACAACGCCATCACGCTTGTCAAGACCGTTTGGGAGGTCTGCAGTATCCATTGTTTTAATGGTTGAAAGAAATGAATCAATCAAGATCAGTTTGCTGAGAGAAGGGTATCTCTCTCCCGTGATTTGAATAATATATCCAGGATTTTGGATTCCGGACGGATATGTAACATTACGAGCTTCCTGGAGCTGACATTCCAGCTCAGAGAACGATTTATGTAATGAGAATAGAAGTTGCGCTTCGTGGGGTTGTGAATGGATCTGACGCAACTGTTGCGATGGACGTATGGTTTACCCTCTGCAGATGCAGTCGAACTATCGTCTTTTTCCTCTTCTGTATAGAGATCGCAGTCTGTCCGTTTGATTTCAGGCGTGTCTCTGCAAAGGACATATGCATAAGCCGGTCCAGGCAAGCTGCGTCTAGTGCTATATACAGGATAGTATGGTGTACCGTCGATCATGATCCAAATTATTGGACCCTGTGGGATGCGGGTGCCTCGAATGCAAGGTAATGTCCAATCCACAAGAGGGCTGGCGATCCATTGGTCGTGAGACTGCTCTGTTTGGCACCAGGCCATTTGTCGAATGGTGCGCGTTGCTGGCGAGGAGAGATCGCGCAACTATGCGACTTCGTTCGTCGTCAACGCGTGTGGCGGCATTGGATGGGTGCCGAATGTAAAGCCGGTTTCGACTCGTGGAGGACTGTGTTCAGGGTTAGGGAAAAATGGAAGGCCGGCGCATAGACGTAAGCAAACTGGTGAGCACGCGTGCCGGATCGGTATACTGGGAAATAGGGAATGCCATCCCTGACCAGCCAAATCGTTGGAGATCTTCGTGGGCGATATTGGCGAATATTTCCTTGGCCATTGAAATCCGCAGGCCAGCGTTTCCCGCGAATGTGAGACGGTATATACAGTCTTCGTGATCACGTACACCCACGTATCAGAAAACTTGGCGGCGATGAACGCTGGCCAGCGATGAGTTCGAATGCTCATGAGCCACGCATCTGAGAGCTTGACGAATTGCGGCAGGTGAACATCGTCAACAGGATCCCACAGGGATCAGTACAGCTTGGGGAGACGCCATCCATGCGATCCCAAAACATCTTCATCAACTTGAAGTATGGAAATTGTCGCGGTTCTCGCGGTTCTCCTTTTGTACGACATGACAATATTATCGATACCGTTATAGGAACGATCGTCTAGTATTTCCAGTAGACGTTTGTTAGCTACAGCAAGACAGCAAAAGAGATAGATCATCCTGTTTGGATATGCTAGAGCCTCCCCTCCATCTCAGGGGAATAAAGGAAATAGATATGTCCAGACTGACTGCTTTACCAGGAGATTTTGTGGTTATAGAAAGGGCAAGGTATATGAAGGGCGCTTGTAATGACTTGAATAGGATATATATATCGTTATATGGATGAAGAGATATATCAAGGAAAGAAAGTTGGTTTGGAGAAGTGGAGAAGTGGAGGGGGAAGAAGGGGGTTTATATCCTGGACGTAGGAGGTAGCGGGTATGTGCCGTCACTGATTTACCTTGTTGGGAAGTCACTGTACTGTACTTTTTGTCAGTGAAGACAGACAACACGTGTATTTAGGTGACTTGTTGACTCAGGAGGCTCGACAGTGAATTGGATGGAACTTCTTTGTAGGATACAAAGAATAAACCAGTCTACAGTTACTGAACCAAGGCTTCTTCGATTTTATCCATTCACTTGTCCTGAACTAACTGCAGGGAATTACCTGGTAGTCACTACGGCTTTTAACTCTTAAAATACTGTATCTTGCATAGGTGTACAACATTCAAGTGTTCAGCAGACGGAACGGTCCATTTGACCTATGTAGTGTACTGTACATACATGTAAATGAACCTCTCCTGGAGACTCGCTCTTGTAATCGTCGAGAGTGCTTGATACCAGTCACCTGGACTTGGCCAAAGAAAGTATGCAATACACAAAACCATCAAGAAACCAACTCCAGGCTGCTTTCCTTCTGGCATTGCTTTGCTCTGTTCACGAGGCCAGCGCGCTGGCAACAGCATCTTGGAAGTTGCCGTTCTGGATGGCCAGCTCGGCGTCCCACAGGGCCACGCCACCAAAGTTGCTCAAGCCCAGCTTCTTCGCCTGCGCAATCTCTGCCTGCATGGTCGAGGCGCTGATGTATCCGCCGTCCCCGACGGCGCTGGCGGCGGCCGGCGCACCGATCCAGACCTGGGCGGGCGACACGGCCTTGCTCCATGCCTGCAGCGAGTTCAGGAAGCCGTCCTGGCCGTTGCAGCAGTTGGCCTGCTGGTTGTTGTAGAACTGCACCCAGACCATGTCCGTCTTCTGCAGGACGTCGTCCGACAGCGACGCGTCGGGCCGCGGGCACTGCGGCGCGGCGGAGATGTAGTACTGTTTGGACGAGTCCGACTTCATGTTGGCGCGCAGCTGGTTCACCAGGCCGAGATAGCCGGTTGGGTCGTGGTTCTCATTGTCTGATGATCATCAGCATCAGAGTACATGGATTGAGATGATTTTAAAGCTGCTTACCCAGATCAATTCCGTCCAAAGTCACATTCTGGAAGGGCCGCAGAGCAGCATCCTTGGTTCCGCCCAGGAACAGGTTCCAGACCGTATCAGCCAGCTGGGCGCCCTGCTCGTCACTGTCTAACTTGCTGCTCGCGTCGGCACCTCCCAGACTGAGGAAGACCTTCTTGCCGGCGCTCTGGCACTTCTTGATCGCGGGGACCAAGGGGGTGCCGTCGAGGAGATCGGTGGCACCGGCGGCCCTCTGAGCGGGAGAAGGGCTATACAGGCCTTGCATGTTCATGCCCGGGTAGCCGCCGGCGCCGAAGAAGGTGTCCAGGAAGGAGAGGATGACGATGTCGAACGACTTCTCGCCGCAAACCTCGTCCAGAGAGGCGCCAGAGCCCTGACCCCACCAGGCAGCGACGCCGGAGAGCTTCGTGGTGGCATTATTAGAGCGCAAAGGAGCGGCGTGGGAGGAGGCCAGGAGGCCGGTGAAGGAAGCAAAGGCAAGGAGGGAAGTCTTCATGGTGGGCAACAAGAAACAACTATGTATGTACAAGCAGCGAAGAAAGGAATGACAAGCCTATCAAAGGCGTGTTCTGGCGTGTTCTAACCTGTCAGAAGGAGCGACTGGTTTGGAGAGAAAGAGCAATCGACAATCCGGACAGACAGGATCTGTCGAGTCTTTTATACCCTCCATGACAGCTACAAGCTGATTACTTGAGCATCTCTGCACTCTCCATCTCCGATCCAGGAGCCGAAAAACTTCGCAGACCAGTTCCCCGAACAGGAAGGGGATTCTCCAGCGCGATGGGGAACCTGCTGACGGGCAGCGGGCGTAATCGCCGGAAAGAATCCTCCATGCTGGTCGAGACATGTAGGATACTATGCTCGAGACCGACAGGACTATCGAATCGGCCATTTCGGCGTTGTCCGTGATGCGCGTTTCGTTCTCCGATTGCAACCCTCAGTCCGAAAAAGGCAATGATTTAAGCTTACTGCTGTGGATCGCTATCCTCGAAAAGAGAAAAATGGAGCATGAACCCCGCGTGTCAAAAGTGCCGAACAGGAGTTCGCCAGGAACAAGGTTAGATGATGGAGCATGCTCTTGTCGATCGCTTCCAGAACGAACAGAGCTACCGTAGTTTGAAAGATGCTGGATGCGACGTTGCAATATCAGCATTGTCCAATGATCGATTTTATCTTAAGAAGACGTGAACGATGTTCATTGTGCTTGCATGCCATTGGCTGGATGCGAATGAATTATCCATCCGGGATCCGCCAGCCTATCACAAGCATTGCAAATGTCATCCGCAGATCCGTCCAACCAGAGGCAAGTAAAAATCTTATCGCTTATCGCCACCGCAGTGGAGATGGTATTCGTGCCTGGATGCAACCTGACTTGGTTCCTGAAACAAGAAATGTTAGAGAAGAACTGTCTCTAAAGTTTAATTCAGCAGTGACTCGTGTACCTACTGAATAATATCGGACCGGAGAATGATTTTTAGGGCGTTTGGTGGATAGAATGAATCATATATACATATCTGTAGCTAAAAGATTATTAATGGCAATATCGTAGTCACAGCTAATGTCTTTTGAGAATCCATACCGGATAAAAAATATATGTAGGAGGTAAGATGATTACTCCGAGGATTCTGGATTGGATCTAGCGGAGAGTATGAATTACATACCAGGTACATGCTCTTCTTGAAGTCTGCCTTGTCGAACTGGATATTATTATCTACTTCGATAATTTTTCAATCCTAGAACAAGTTGCTGAACAAGCATGAATCAAATAACACCCCTCCTTGGTCAGACAATCTCCCTTCATTTAACATGCCATTTCTCCAGTAAGTTCACAGTCAATGATATTTTTCTTCAGAATTCCAGCTCCGGCTTCTTAGACGCACATCCCTCCGGCTCTTTACTCCAGTCGTAAATGCCACCACGCTCGTAGAAGCTGTTCTGATCCCAGTACACGTGCTCCAGCGCCCGCTGCACGCCGACATCGAGGATGGATTCTGTTGGCTCACCAACACCCTTGTTGAGAAAGCGCATATATTCGTCAAGAATGAGGTAGGAACTGCGCATCACGCGATTCGACTCTGGCACGAAGCACTTGTTGTGCGAGTGTCGGTCACAGAACTGCTGGAACTCGTCGTCCGTGATCTGGAAGCGGCGGGCGTCCCGGATCGTCTTATCGGAGTCGTGCTCGCCCTCGACGACCAGCACCTGGAAAACCTTCCACCGGGTGGGCTGCAGCGCCTGGATATGTTCATTCATATCCTCGTGCATGTTGTAGCGGTTCACCACCGTGTTGATCTTAAACTTGACGCCGTACTTCCGACATAGCTGGGCCACCTCCTGGACCTGGGCCAAGTGCGCGCCCTTTCCCCGGCCGATGCGGATGTTAACCTGTTCGTCAAACGAGTCACACAAAACTGCGATGATGTCGATGTATCGTGCGGCATCGGCCATGAACCGCTCTGTAAGTTTGCTGCCGTTGGTCACGATGGATACCGACTCGAGGCCTAGCTCCTTTTTGCAGAAAGCAACCAGTTTGCTCAGCAACTGCGGGTATAGCAGGGGCTCGCCACCAGCAAAATTGATCTTCTTCATGCCTGCGCGCCGCAGCATCCATAGGCCGCGCTGCATGTTCTCAAACGACTCGATGTGGCACGTCTTCTCCGTGTGGAAGCAGAAGCCGCATTCATAGTTGCACCTGCGCGTGAACATGTAGTGGACGGACAATGGAACAAAGGGCGATTTCCTGGACAGCCAGCCTCCGATTCGGATGGCGAGGACGAGAACGACGAGAGTCACCAGACAGGCGACGAGATAGAGCGCCATGTTGGTTCTGACTTGGAAGTCTTGTTCGATCAAGTGGTACTGTCAAGGTGGTAGTCTCTAGGAAGGAGGAAGGACACAAAGCGGTTGAAAGAAGTAAAAATTCTGCTTCTGTGGGATTTTCCTTTATTTCTTCCTGTTTGAGGCCTTTGATCGTGTCGATTACCAAGCGTGCTGTCTCATTGGTTCTGTGAAAGGGCGTTCACGCCTTCCTGATCCAACGCCTGTCCTGTCCATCTGGGAAGGAGCGTCTCTCATTTCCACTCTCACTTCCATTCTTGGTCCAAGAGAATTAACCACACATTTGTGACCGACAGACACATCGTTCGCTTCAGGCAATGTCGACTGAACGCAAGGTTTACTTTGTGTTCGGTAGGTGTCTCTACTCATGTATTCGACCTGGTTGACCAAGATAGGTGGCCCAGGTGCCGGCAAAGGTACCCTTTGCACCAGACTCGCTCAGGAAATGGGTCTGGCGCACGTCTGTGTCGGCGACCTCCTTCGCGCCGCAATAGAGCGTAGTGACGAATTCGAAGCTCGGGAGCAGGTGCAGCGGGCGATGAAGGAGGGAAAACTGGCCCCAGTTGGAGCGATCAGGACCGTCCTCGAGAAAGCACTCCAGACCCAGTCGGTCGTCCTGCTGGACGGATTTCCGCGCAGCTTGGAGCAGATGAGCATGTTCGAGGAATTCGTAAGCATCGCGACCAGGCTGGCTCAGTTTCTCCGTTAACATGTTATTTGTTACAGTTTGGCGATGTCGAATGCGGCCTGCTATTTTCCTGCAGTTCGGAAACGATGGAGCGTCGCGTGCGAAAGCGCCATCTGACGTGTAAGCGAATCGACGATGACATAGAAACCGTCCGGAAGCGCTTCAGACAGTACGAGGAGGAGACCGTGCCTTGTATCAACAAGCTGAAAGAGAAAAACAAGCTCGTTGAGGTAACATTCTCCCATACGCACCTTGTTGATATACATATATAGTACAGGTGGATGCTGATCGGCCAGTTCGACTGCGAGGGCGACTTGGATGAGATTTACGAGGGCATCAAGAACCAGTTTCAGGTGCGTTGATCATCCGCCCGATCGTAACGGTGTCTAACATTAATCCAGGCGCTCTTGAACAAGGTTAAGACTGATCGAGAATGAATTCTTTGTGAGGCGGGGGTACAGACTTGACAAACAGCATCATTTTCAGACTAGAGAATGGTAGAGCTGCATATTCAAAGTTATGCCTTGCAATCGGACAGGCAAGGCTAACTTAAAATCTGCCTGCTAGGAAAGAAGAGTAAAGTACGCTAAATAGATTAATTTTTTTTAAAGGGAATACTCTGTCAGTTACTGGTGATGTTTACCTTATCTCAGAATACCTGTACAGAAACTAGGACTCTCCATTGAGTATACCACAGCTCAAACATGCTACTTTCCAGCGTAAATATTAGAATTCTGAATTAGATACATTTAGTAGAGATGACCATATTTTATATGATCATGTGATAATAGCAAAAAAAAGTTCAATATATATCTTGACGGCTTGATATGAAGGCAGTCGTAAGAGGCAGATAGTCTGGAATCGAAACAAAAACGAAACAAACCATAGAGATAGATCAAGAAGGTGAACGCCAACAGAATGCTCTTCGATGCGAGGACATTCCTCACTGCACCGTTCTTTTCCGCAATGTCCTGACAGGCATAGTAGTATCTTTCCCTCTCTCCGGCCTCCGTCCATACACGACATAACTATGATCCGAGCAGACAGACATCAGTATAGACCTCTCCATAAAATGGAATTCTACGCACAAGTTAAACAGCATGTGGATATTGCGATTGCGAGTGTCCTGCCTCGCCTTGGCAGCCAGCACCATGACTTCGTCCTTGGTCCAGTTTTTGAAACGCGTCAGGACGGCCATGGCGAAGGCCTCGAAACCGTCTGCTTCGGCCTGCATTTGGCACCAGGCGCCGACTTTTTTCTAAACAATCATGTTAGCTTTGCAATAAAAAAAAATTCAAACCACAAAAAAAAAGGTATATACGCACAAAATACGGATCCTTAGGCCACGTCCCCAGCGGAATACGATACCTCTCAACATGGATATCGACAAACCCCGCGTCGCGGAACCATTGCTCCAGCCGCATCCCCGGCCTTGTCTCGTAGCCTTGCATTTCGAACCCGCTGTAGACTTCGTTGTAGTACTGCTCCAGGGCGGTGCCTTTGATGCTGTCGTCCTCCGAGGTAGGGTAGCCGTCCCAGTCTTGGAATTCGACCCAGCCGCCGGGTTTGGTGTTGCTTGACGAACATTGGTTAATAACCGTGTGGATAACCCTGTGGTTGTTTGTTTGTCTGATGGGTATAGTTGGATTGGTGATTGTATGTATATATATGTTGCAGATTTTTTTTTTCGCTAGGGGATATATTCCCCAGTATATATATATTCCCCTTCTTAGCGAAATCTGCAACGTGTTTTTTTTTTTGGTCCAGTTAATGAATTTATATTTATTTATTTTCTTCTTACCGATAACACTGCCTAATCAACTTGGGGAAATCCTTGATCGAAACCGCAAGATACCGGGCGTGGATAAAGTCGAATGGGTGCTCATAGATCCAGTCGGATTCGATGTCGTCTACCAGGAATTTCACATTGGGTGGGACCCTGTAGCACGCAAAAGACTCATTAGATTGCCTGTCCGCAACTGTATATTCAGGAGATTGATTTCACTGACAGTCTTGGTTGAATAGGACTTAGATCACATCCAATGACCTTTTTTTTTGAATTATCTTGAATTAGCTCAAGATCGTACAGACATAAGGTATATATGTATGTATGAATACTTGCCTCCGCAGAAGGGAATTGATCGGCTGATCACGACGAGTCGTAAGCATATATATGAACGGACTACGCAATCTGGTCTGGGATGGTACATACCAAAATCAATCGCCCATATCCCCGTCCCCGTCCCCAGATCAATAACCCGCTGCGGAGATTTGATCGGCGCAAGAAACAGTTTCCTGTGCATCATGGTGAGCACCATCTCATGCACCATGTCGAGACGGTCGGATTCGCTCTCGTCGTTGGGCATGAGGTAAGCTTAAGCCATTTCGTTGGCAATTAGCATTTGGCTCGGTCTTGAGTCAGTCAAAGGGGTTGGGGGGTACTCACTCCCATCACGATACGCATGGTATCGTCTGCCGTTCTCGTGTCGGTAGTTGAGGACCGATGATGTCAGAGAAGTCGTATAGGATGATCTGTTTACATATATACACATATGTAGTTTCTTATCAGCAAGCGTCCTGATAAGTTCTTACTCGACTTGCAAAAAAAGAATCATGACTGATTGACTGACAGTTCATCGCCATAGCTGGAATCATTGTCGATCTTGAATTATGTATGTACAGCACATCCTGTCAGGACACGATCAATCAATCAAGCAAGGAAGAATAAAAAAATGATCTGCGCTCGAAGGAGCTTATTACGCACCTGTGGATCAACTTCTACCTGAGGTAGGTCGGTGGGACTGGTTTGCGTTGTCATTTTCGATGGGAAGGATATTAAGTAGATAGGTGGATAGGTGGATAGATGGATGGATGATAGATAGACAAACAGACAGATAGATAGATGGACGAACAAATGCCTATAACGATGGGGTGAGAAGAGACAGAATCAGAATATGCCCCGGGAGCCGGCTGCAGATTATTATATGTTACTACACACACTCGAGTCTGCAAAAGAAAAAAAAGCAATTCATCTACCATCCAACTTGGCTCTCGCGGACGCAGGATATACTTCCGCAAGACACCAATTCATCCTGCTGAGCGGGGTTTTGTACAGTACAATGCACCCCTGTCAGACACCACAAGCACAAGCCAATGACAAGAACCGTCACAGTGTGTTTCACACTCCAAGCTACCTAACATAGAAAAGGAACCCGGACATCCTTTTGGCTGATACGATGACGACAGTTGCTTGTGTTGGTAGAATCTCGGACACGCTGATTGGTCCTGCTGTCATGGCCGGCCGAACGCTCAGGACTCTGCAGTCTCTCCTTCTCCTCCTCACTGCGATGCGATGGATTATGCTTCTTCACAACCTGTCCTGTCTAGGCTGGTTCCAGCTTGACTAAGGACAGTAGTTACTGGCGGGGCCGAAAGCCAACTAACGGCTGACCTGACCTGACCGTCGAACTTTAATACAGTTGACGGTTGATATTCTTGGAAATATGCATTCAGGCTACATATATGTACTCCACACGCATATATGTACCTGAGCCCATTTTTTTGATCCGAGAAGGATGCCATGTGTCTGTCCTGTTCGCTGTTTGCTGACAATTTAAAAATATGAATGGCTCTGACACCAACTACTTCCTGATCAAAAGGAACACTGTTTTTTCTATCTATCAAAAATTGAGGGCAGTACTGTACTGTACAAGCCTGTGATAGATAATATAGAAGTCTTGATAAAGCCTGAAAAGGGTAAAAAAAAGTTTGGTAAAATAGTGTATTGTACAGCATAATTAGTCATCTATATATACTCTTTCTTTGCACACAGGGCTCTATGCTCTACAAGGGCTTACTTAACGGTCATTATGTGATTGTTGTAGACAGTGTTATCGACGAGCACCACGCTTTTACTGTATGAGGAAATAGATTTTTTTTGAAAAAAAAATTACCTGCCTACATAGATATCTAGATTAAGTGAGGTTCTCCCGCAAATAATATATTGAACCTGATTTCGTGGTATTACTGCGTCTTGCAGTAGACAAAAGAAAAAGCTAAAAAAAAAAATATATCGTTGGATAGTATTATTAGCCGGATGGACGCTCTGCGTATATTATTTTCTGTAGACCAATAAGGGGGAAAAAAGCAAGACATACATGGAGGAGCGCTCCTTATATAACGGTTGATTGATGAACAAACTCGGAATAATTCTCTCTTCATTATTGTTGCAGATTAGTGAAAAAATAAGTTAATACGGGAAAAATCGACTTGGCTTTTTTATCCTTAAGTATACGATAAAACTCTGATTCAGCTCAAAAGGGTGCAAGCGTTGACCCGTCATGCTTTTGTGACAGGGACAGGTTGGGTCTATTCTTGGTTCGATTATATATATCCTGAGCTTGTTTCTAGTTCAAGGCAATAAACACATATATAGCAGCTGTCTACTGAATGGACCACTCCAGCCATACTTTTCTACTCCAAAGCCACCAGGACGCCGCAGCGACAGCCACCAGCGGCACAGAGACCTTCACCAGCATTATGGTCAGGATGCTCCACCAGCGGCGCCTACGTTCGGCGAGAAACTGGTTGGTATTATTGACATTGGGGAATGGAGTGGCGGGGATTTCCTTGCCGAGAAATTTGCACAGGGGCTCCCATCCCTCGGCCACGTTGAAATTCAGCAGTCGCTCCGGAGGCACGAGACGGTTGATTCGGTCGTAGTGATCAAGATACGCCTGACGCTCGCCGTTGGGAGCGAGGATAGGGCGCAGCGAGTGCTGGAACTTGTGATATCTCCACCATTGGCCTATGACGCGCTTTTTGCTTGTCAGCGGAGCTTTTCCTTCCATAGATAATAGGGACAGCAAGACAAGACAAACATACCGGCTCAAACGGAGCCAACCAGTCAAACGACTTCCACTTGATCGCCAAATCGACCGACTCCTTCATGGAAAGCATCCATTTATCGACGTCGCGAGTGCTGAGGACGACCTTGGCATTCGGATACGCCTTGATGAGGTCCTCCGCAACCAACGACCCGGGGATGTTGCACGAGACGTTCCAACCAGCGAAGAGTTTGTCGTACTCTTTGCGGCCATAGACCTCGCATGTCTCAAGGTATTTGGCTTGCAAGGCTTCGACCCACAGCGGAAGTAATTCAGGTTTTTTGTCCATCATCCGTCCGTGGAAAGGCTTGTAGCCCAGGATTTCAAAGGCGGCACGCATAGCTGGCACAGAGTAGTCCACAAGTTAGATACCTTGATCCGCTGGGAGCATTGCAGCAATACTCACAGATGGTGCCTGTTCGGGGCATTCCCAGGAGGAGAACCACCATTTCCACGGGTTCCGATGGATCCGGCACTTTGTCAATGAGACGAGTAGACGAAGGCATTTTACTTAACACGTGGTGTTTGGAATCTCTCAAAGAATATGAAGGTAAACTGAAGAAAGAAAAAAAAAATCAGAAACCTCGATCAGCTGCAACACCCAGCTACGACAGCGTGGAAATGATCTCGAACTTCCCTGAGGCAGCAGTAGCGATGCCAGTCCCGAATAAGTATTTGAAGGAGGAAACTCTACGTAGGCTCGTTGGGAGGTCACGTCAGAATTTAGCTGGGAGAAGCTCACCTGTAGTCACATTTATCTAGCGCGTAAAGAACATCTAATTCTCACTCAGCTGTGTTGTAAGTTCTTTCTGCTTCCATAAGATGTTGGGAAATAGTTGCTGCTGGCTGTTATTTCTGCACTAGATACATGGCTCTAGTATAAGCCCTAATGATGTAAGTATACACAGACAGCAAGATGAATGCATCAGGCCTATCAGAGACTGCCATAAATTAAAGACAAATAGGTGGTCTGCAAAGATTGCATGATTTAATAATAATATCCACTCGGATGGCCTGGATGAGGGTTTAGGAATAGATTACATTATCCCAAGGAGCATGGCCCCTACGGAGTATACTCCATGCAGACAGATGATTTCTCATATACCATGCTTTACTAGACGAAAATATGCCCCTCATGGCAAGGTTGTTGTTGTTGTTACATTTAATTTAGTCTGATCTGTCAGCCGGCACGCCATGTGTGCATGGCAAGGGGTGATGTACGGTCTGGCTCTTATCAATCAGCCTGCAGGGTCAATCTGTATATAGCAGTGTGAACCAACTATATTAGTTAGCTGACCATTACTATCACTGATCAGGTTGGTGGAAAACATAGAGTGCACTAGTAAGAAATAAAACATCAGAATACCAAAACAGGTTAATTAGAATTGCTGTATTTTTGGTACGCCAGGAGACAACTAATTAAGTAAGCATCTCAGCGTCGTTTGTCCAGAAACCCGAACTTTTTGCCAGCCCCTTGTGTAACGCATTTTCTGTTGCCTGACATGGCAGACGAGAAATCCTGAAAATGCATCCATTTTGTCAACTCCCTCTCTGACTCATTGGATCAAAGACATCATGTCTCCCTGGAAGCGCAAGAATGAGACTCGTCGACCCCGCAACCCAGCCATGGACAAGGCCGATAATAATTCATCGGACAGCGTGCAGAGACCGGCTTCTTCGGAAACTCGACTGACGGCCCATGCTGCTCTGTCCGCGGTGAGCGGCGACTTGCGAAAATCTTCACCAACGTCTCTGTCCTCAGGAGACACAACAGGCGCTCTCTCAGCTCATCGGCGAGACGATCCTCGGACGCAAGCGAAACGCCATGCAGAATTCGCACCCCTCAGCCACCCCTCGCATCTCTACGTGAGCCAGCACCCCGGCGGCGAGATCCCCGACCCGGTCGTCGACGAACCGCCATACTTCTTCCTCCTGACTACGTATATCAGTTTTCTCGTCCTGATCGGCCTGGGCCACTTCAGAGACTTCTTCGCCAGATGGTTCTCCCCAGACTCCACCCGACACTTGAGACCGCATGACGGATACGCCCCGTTGTACAGCGACTTTGACAGCTTCTACACCCGCCGTCTCAAGCAGAGGATCAATGACTGCTTTGAGCGGCCAACAACCGGGGTTCCGGGCCGGAACATCACCCTGCTGGACCGGACGACGGAGGATAATATCCACTTTAAACTGACGGGCACCACGACGCAGACCCTGAATATGAGCTCATATAACTATCTGGGGTTTGCGCAATCGGAAGGCCCGTGTGCGGATAGCGCGGAAGACTGGATCAGACAGAGTGGCATCAGCATGTGTGGCACCTGTGGTGACGCGGCGACATCCCAGCTTCACGTCGAGGTCGAGAGGCAGATTGCCCGATTCGTGGGCAAGGAGAGTGCGATAGTTTTCTCGATGGGCTTCGTCACAAATGCTACCATGTTTGCTGCACTTGTGGACAAGGGCTGTTTGATTCTGTCCGACGAACTCAACCACGCATCGATCCGATTCGGTGCCCGTCTCTCCGGCGCCAGTATCCAGACCTTCAAGCATAATAACATGACGGATCTGGAAAATCGGTTGAGAGAAGCCATCTCGCAAGGCCAGCCGCGGACTCACAGACCATGGAAAAAAATCCTTGTCACGGTCGAAGGTCTCTATTCCATGGAAGGCACCATGGTCAATCTCCCCAGAATCCTTGCTCTCAAAAAGCGGTATAAATTCTATCTGTATATCGACGAGGCGCATTCGATTGGAGCCGTCGGTCCCCGCGGACGCGGTGTATGCGATTTCTTCAAAGTCGACCCTGCAGAGGTCGATATTCTCATGGGCACGTTCACGAAATCCTTCGGCGCCAATGGCGGCTATGTCGCTGCTGACAAGGCAATAATCGATAAGCTGCGACAGGCAAATGCTGGACAGCTCTTTGGCGAGGCGCCGACGCCTCCTGTCCTCGCGCAGATCATCAGTGCTCTCCGACTAATGGCGGACGAGGACCCTCTCCATCCCGGTGAGGGAAAAGAGCGACTGCAACGACTGGCCTTTAATTCTCGGTATCTGAGGCTGGGCCTCAAAAGGCTTGGCTTCATCGTCTACGGACATGACGACTCCCCCATTGTCCCCTTGTTGCTGTACAATCCTGCCAAAATGCCGGCATTCTCGCATGAGATGCTCAAACGCAAGATTTCCGTCGTGGTGGTGACCTACCCTGCCACGCCACTGGAACTGTCCCGCGTGAGGTTCTGTGTTTCAGCGGCTCACAACAAGGACGATCTGGATCGGCTGCTGCAGGCCTGCGACGAAGTGGGAGAAGCGTTGCAGCTGAAGTTTTCGTCTGGCATTGCGGGTGGCTTGCGAGAGCCTCTTCCCCCAGACGCGGATTCGAGCAGGAGGAAGGCAATCATTAAACCCCCTCGTTGGCGTTATGAAGAAGTAGTTCAAAGAGGTGCGAGGGATGCAAAATTGCCTATGTACTAGTCATTGGTAGTGACCAGAGCTATATACATCTTGTCTAATGTTTAATATTTAATGTAAATAATGGCGATCTACGATTCGACTGGCAATGAGAAATGAAAGAGGGTTTCTTCGGAGAGTCTGTTGAAATGGCAAATATTAGGGAACCTTGAGTTGTGTAGATAATGAAACTTCGTGAGCAGTATAGTCAAGACCAATATATAGTAGCTAGTCACCATCTTTCTCTCTATTCCTCTTACATCTCGACGAACGAGAAAAATGAAAAATGGGACGAATTCTCTCGATACCGAAAAAAGGAAATCAAGATATCATCACCACCCCTCCAATCGCGTAAATCTCGCCATAACCCCATCCTTCGGCGCCGTCGTAACCGAATTAGTAGTCTCCAACTTCTTCATCGGATCCTGCAATTCCATCCGGAATCGACCCACAAGGACAGCCACCAGACAGGCCAATTCCGACTTGGCAAACGACTGCCCTATACAACTCCTCGGACCATGCAGGAACGTCAGGAACGCGTAGTTGGTATTTGCGCCGCCGCTCTTGGCTCGACCTTCGCCGATCCAGCGATCGGGATTGAACTCCTCTGCGTCAGGGCCCCAGAGTTCCGTGTCGAGGTTTGTTGCTCCCGGTACAAGCAGGAGTAAGGTACCCTTGGGGATGTAATGGCCAAGAATGGATGTGTCCTTGCGAGCTTCTCTGCCGGTGGAGCGTACAGGGGGATAGAATCGCAAGACTTCGTTGCAAAAGGCGTTGAGATAGGGGAGCGAGTCCACTTGGGCGGCCGTGGCCGGTTGTGGTTTCTTGCCATCATCCTTCGAGCGGATGGTTGCAGGGAGGTGAGAGCGGATCTCCTCACGCAGTCGAGCTTGTATCTCTGGATGGTTGCACAGCGCATAAACGGCCCATTGCAGTGAGGTGGCGATGGTCTCGTGGCCGGCAACAAGGAAGGTGATCATCTGGTCCACGAGGTTCTCGTCGGAAAAGACGCCGCTCGTGAGAGCAATGGATGCAATGTCAACGCCCTGGAGGTCCCCCCGTTTCAGCTTCTCTTTCTTCTCCTGAACGATCTCGCGCGCAACTTCCCGGATATACTCCGCGGCTTCGATAGACGCCCTGTTCCACTTGGTGGGCAATTGAAAAAGCCTCTTGAACCCGACGGTCAGCGTGCTGATGAGGACGAGCCATTTGGCAAAGGTAGTCGGCACAAATCTCAGCTTTTCATACTGCTGCCGGAAAGTATTGTCGGGATCTTGAATGGTGCCGAAATCGCGTCCCATGCCTGCGAGGCCGATGATGTCGAGTGTCACTCTCCCGGCCCAGTTGCTGACCTGTATAACGTTGTCTTTCGACGAGGATGAACTTAGTTGCTTCTCTATGGTATCGACCATCTCGACGGACTTGGTCCAGAACGTCGGGTAGAGATCTTTGATATGGCGGTATGCAAAGCTAGGCATGAGCCCTTTGCGTTGTGCCTGATAACGTCGTCAATCGGCATGATCAACGAAAAGGGGGAGAGGTTGGACATACCTTATGCTCGTCACCCTCAGCGAGAAGAAGTCCATTTCCCGTGAAGCGCAAAAGCTTAATCCGAAGCGATTCTGACTTTGGAAAGTCATACACCTTGGACACGAGAACTTCACTGAGAGCCTTGGGCCCTATGACCATGACTCGTTCGACATTTCCTGCCATATAGTACCGGATTAGACCGTTGTTGGGGATTTCTTTGGTCCATCTCCGGGCATGGTCTGCGGGGACCTCGAGGAAAATGGATCTCGAATTGCCCTTGAACCACGATCGGTCCTAGAAAAACACAATGAGTGAATTGAATTGAAACAGGCTCGTAACGCCAAAATATCATAGCAAGAGAAAGAGAGAGACGAGGAACTCTAATCACCTTAGGTGTCGGAATATGCCGCAGAGGCGACAGAAAATCAGGATACAAAATCGATCTGTAGACGAACTGGCAAAACACTGTGACTGCGACAAAGCTGACAGCCGTGCAGAAGTATGATTGCCGGATCGAGTATTCGGGTTTGAGCGAGACTACCAGCACCGCGGCGCTCACGGCGATCAGGCTCCATGGCGGTGCCATTTTCGAAGTGACTCAACAGTATCAGTCCAAGGCGTTCGTTCAATCTCGATGGTCTTCGAGCTAATAATCAAATTCCACTGTGATCTGACGCAATAAAAGACAAGAAGATGCAACACGGTGAAACAAAAATATATCAAGCGATTGGACAAAAGTAATTGATTGATCAATCCTTCATATTCATTCCACAAACTAGCGGAAGAAAGATACTGTGAATCAAAATCTCCGGGTTAGGGAACTTGCAACGATCTCACCTCCCCGCGATGGCAGCAGTATGAACTCCCCAAATAGGATGGCCAGCGGAACCCGCGGGTAGGATCGAAATCAGTCAGCCCGACCCAACATAACCCATACATAAGCAGGATTACCTTAGGAAGTAAATTACCAAGAATCTAGAACAAAGTGTGATGTTAAGAGGAAGCAAAATACTGAAATTACTGTATTGGAGTCAGAATGTTTTTGATGTTTCAACCCGAAGTAACTAGGGTTTGTACGTATTTAACCCTAATTATACTGTATAGGAGAGTAGAGGTTGGTAATTTTATCTTTTAGCCATTTCTCGATATATTTATTAAGCTTTCACTAAAAGATACTAGGGATTAGGTGAGTGATTTCAATTTGGAAGTGGTGAGTTTTGACTTGATTGAGAAACCTGAACTGGCAACACTATCAATCAATCATTTCATTTACTGATCTAACAGCCCTGTAGCTGAACACCAGTAGGTTACAAGTGGGTCCGATGTGTGATACTGTATAGCACCTTATGTATTGACCAGTTCTGTTGACCTGTATGTTGACAAACAAGCATACCATGGTGATGTCAGATTTTAGCAAGGTCAGCTCATCTGCTTTATGCTAATCTTATGCTAATCTATTATGCTTTTTACCCCTGGAGCTTTTTTCTACTACTGCTGAGCCGTAAGCCCAAAGCATGTAAAAGAAGCGCAAGGGGTTATATTAAACATCTATCTTTCCGCTCCACAGCAGCTGATACTCTACCCTGTACCGCACTGCAGATTCTGCATTTCCTACATTACCCCCCAGTAACGCTTTGAGTCATTTTTTTGTACAGGCTGTTAGGGTTAATAAGCACTAAATCTGCAGTTAGGCCCCCTGCCCCTGGTAAATGCAAGTGGTCATCGTCCTCATGATTGTCATTATCTCTGAAGTCAACAATCTCTGCCGGTCCAACTTTTGGTCAACAGACTTAGATCCCTCCATGGTTAATTGCACCATGTGGGCTACTTCCACAGCCCTAAGATTGTCAGCCCCAGCCGAGCTGCCTGTAAGAAATGCGACCAACAAGGCCTTGTCCGTCAGGTTCACAATCGGTAAGCACTAGTATTGCTAACAGTCAAGAATCTAATCTTCCCATCTACTCCGTACATGAGAGAATCACTCCTCAATCACCTAGCGCTTGATAAAAAGCAAATTGAGTCTTAGCTACTATCTATGCCACGTGAACCCTCCAACATGATCAATAGAATCAACTGATCCGATAGGTTGTTCAAGCTCTGGTAGCTGGATGTGCTTGACTGCTGGAAACTAGTGCTTACCGATTCTGCACCTGATTGACAGAGGTGCTATTACTTACTCTAGCAATCGAAAATAAGGTAATCAAGCAAGTTGTCCTAGAGATGCATCAGCGCAGGGCCAGGAGAGTGAGAAACGTAGATTAAAACTCTCTGTGACGGCAGGTCTGGAATGAGCGAAAAGGAATATGAATCACTTGCTCACCCGGTAGTCTGAAGGTATTCCAAAGAGCTTCTATCTCGAGCCTTTATATTCTATGGTATCATTTCAACTCGCAGAGAAGTAGCTTATTTCTATCTTTCTCATCGAAAAAACCATGCTTGACATACTCGTTCAAACCTTCCGCAGATGGAAGAAGCTCCTGTACTCGTATCTCACTTCTGCCATCCTCTTTTATCACAAAGCATTGGGGCACACTGCTATCGGGCCATCCTCTGGTTCTCTCAGCATTACCGACAATCGCACTCGCCGGAAATACACCATTCCAATCGTTAACAATGCCATCCGCGCAACCGACTTTCTGCAGATTACTTCTGCGGGGATGGGAGCGGATTTCGTCGATCACTACGAGAATAGCATCCGGATCCTCGACAAGGGATTTTTGAATACCGCGTGTACGGAATCGGCTATTACACTTATGTGAGTTTTGTTTTCATCAGAACTACTGATAATGACTACTCGTTGACGCCAGCAGCGATGGTAAACGTGGCTATATTCAGTACCGCGACTACTCGATTGAGGACTTGTTCCACCATCATGACTACGAGGAAGTGATTCATCTCTTGATATGGGGTAAACTTCCTACCCCGGAGCAGAAGAACACTCTTCGCAGGAAATTGGCCGCCGCGATGAAGCCGTATCCGAATGTAATTAATGTGATCCAGTCATTCCCGTAAGACCTCTCTCTCGCTTTTTCTCTCTTCTCCATCTCTTATGTAGCAAAATTGCTGACCGATCACGTTAGACCCGATTCCTTGACTTTCCCCATGATCCTGGCTGGGATTGCCGCGTACGCTTCGTTGGACGAGGGGACTCGAGCAACTCATAGTCAAAGCCAACCCTATTATCTGGGCAAGGATGAAGCCGTGGATGCTGCTGTTATTCGAACCCTCGCTACGCTCGCCACAATCACTGCCCTGGTGTACTGCCACAAGCGTGGGCGGAAATTCACTCCAGCCAACCCAGACGAATCCTACATCGGAAACATCCTTCTCATGATGGGCGTCATTGACGAGGGGACCGGGCAGCCCAACCGCAAGATCGAGCACTGTTTCGAACGTCTCTGGATTCTGAACGCGGATCACGGCATGACCAATTCGACCGCTGCCTTCCTCAGCGCGGCGTCCACCCTGACCGATCCTCTATCTTGCAGCATTGCAGCCGTGGCATCGGCCTACGGGCCCCTTCACGGCGCAGCCGTCGAAATCGCCTACAGGGTCTTCGAGAACGTCGGCACGGTGGAGAATGTGCCCAAGCTCATCGCGGACGTCAAGGCCAAGAAGTTCCGCCTCTTTGGCTATGGACATCGCATCTACAAAGTCGTGGACCCGCGGGGTAAACTCGTCCGCCAGCTCATTGACGAATACCGGGAGGACGTTCGGAAGAATCCCCTGCTGCAGGTTGCGCTCGAAATCGACCGGATTGCGGGGGAGGATCACTACTTCACGTCGCGGAATCTCAAGGCAAATGCGGACCTCTACGGTTGCTTCTTGTATACTGCGCTGTGAGTTCATTTAGCTCGTGGTGTACCGAGGTAGAGATTCTAATGATATATTATAGAGGCTTTGAAACAGACATCATCCTCGCCCTGTCTTGTCTTTCGCGCTCGCCTGGCGTTTTGGCGCACTGGCGGGAGTCCATGAGTCGGTCCATCTCTTCCCTGCATATTGTCATTTGCTAATTGATATTCTTCTAGGCCAACCACCCAATTTGTGGCGACCCCAGCATATTTTCACCGGGACTGTTGCAAAGCCCAGGAAAGAGTGAGCGTGGGCGATACAAGGTGGCTGTTTAGAAGAGAAGACCTGGATTAGTGAGGGTTGTAAGAGTTTCTTTCTTAGGAGGACGGGGAGGGGAGGAACGAAAGTAGAAGATCAGCTTACACTTAGCGTTTACGGCTAGAATCGGATAATGATGGCCTCAGAGGCAGGGGCTTTCTAGCGGTGAACCATGTCGATGTTATGTTAGGGTTTTAGAAGTCTGTGAATCAGGATGTCACACTTGACACGTGCCACAATACTAGGTACCTACCTTGGGACACTAAGGTAGCTCCAATTTCATCGATTCAACACTGAATGAATGATTATTAGCCTGTAAAAGACACTGTCAGAAGGAAAATTACGATTTCATAGATAGCCTCATGGCCTACGGAGGACCCTAGCTGGACACAGTGGGGGCAAACCAACCCCTGCCCAGTTCGCAACATACTCCGTATACGTAATCTCGCATGCTAGAACTAGCAGGCATCCCAAGTAGTTACATATGTAGGCAAGGGTCCGGAAGAGGACGAAGGATTAAGTAGGATCTCGAGTTCTAGACCTACTTTGCAACTCCACCGAGACTTGATTACTGTGCATACTCATATGAATGCATAAGTAGCAGCTAGTAGCAATATATCCTAGCATTTTATGGAAGCAGACAGAGTTTACATACAATACAGCTACCTAGGTAGTTAAGTAAGAACGGCTAGTGCTTATTTAAGCAGTAGATAAATGTTTTTAGTTGATTAAGATAACACCACCGATATGAGTACGTACAGTACAGACAGCAAGATACATGCCTCAGACCTATCAGAGACTGCCACAACTCAAAAATAGGTTGTTAGGAGAGATTGCATAATTCAATATCTGACGGCATATACAGGATGTTAAATTCTTAGCTGTATTGTAAGCTGAAGCTCTTCTATTTCTACAAGGTACGAGGAAAGTATTACTACTAGCTATTCATTTATTTACGTACTAGATAAATAGATTTAATTAACTAAGATAAACCTAAAAATATAAGTATGCACAGATAGCATGATAAATGCATTAGACTCATCAGAGACTACTACAAATTAAAGATAAAGCAGGTAGTCAGCAAAGATTGTGTGATTTACATCCAATGGGATGGATAGGATGTTAAGCATCCAACGCGATGTATGAGATGTATGGAATATTAAATCTTGCAATCTACCTAGGTAATTTTTGTGGGCTTTGCAGAATTGATATCATGCCATTATTGTAACATTGGCCAGGCCGGGTTATGTATAGGTACGTTTGATAGATGAAAAGTTAAGTTGATGCAACGACAAGGGGTTGGGGAGGAAGGTGGGATGTCGAAAAAAAAAACAAGATCTGTTAATCAGAAGTGACATAGGTTCGTATAGTAAGCACTAGATGGACTAGTCAAAACAGAATAAAAAACTAGTGGTAAATATTTTGCACCTCTTCTCTGTAGATAGGTAGCCTCCAACAAGAGTAGTTATTGCCTAGCGGTCAAGTACCAGCTGAGATCTGAAGTATTTAAATAGGAAGAGAACTTTCTCAGTGAAGGCTGCTTTGCACACTAATTGAATATAATTGAATAGAGCATACTATATTCTTTTCTATACTCTTTTCTTCTCCTAGAAACGTGTGGTATTTACCAAGTTGTTTTCCCATTATGGAAGCACAGGACAAACTACCATCGACCACCCTTAAAACTACTCCTCTATTCCAGCCTAGATATGGATCGACTCGTGAAGAAGCCTTCCAGCTCTCTTATGAGAGAGCTGTGGCTATCAATAAACACTACGGTTTGTTGGTCTGTGCACCGTATGACTAGGGAGACTGTGTTAAGTATATATTCCAGGGTTTACGATAGAAGATATTGTCTCCCTCACGCCGAGATTTTGGGATATGCACACGGACGGAATCATCCTCTCCGATATTGGCGCGCATGCTCTGCTCTCGATACAATACAATCTCGCCGCTGGGACAATTGCGCCATTTGCCCGTGAACGAGCGGATCTCCAACCGTTGTTGGAGAAGATATTGAAGTTTCAAGTCTCGTAGGTGTTTCTTTTCTGGATATTTAATTTTTTTTGTCTGACAAAGACTCTTCACAGAGCAGGGTTCATGCTAACTGAACTCGATCATGGCTTGGATGCTAAAAATCTGGAAACGACCGCGACGTTGCAGTCTGATGGCAGTTTCATCCTGCATACTCCCCGGCCCGGGGCGGCGAAGTAAGAGACTACTATCCTTCCTAGACATTTTTTTATCAGAGAAACTAATTTGAATAGATTTGTACCCCCATCAAGGCCTGTAGCTGGGATTCCACGCATTGCAGTGGTCATGGCAAAGCTCGTTGTGGACGGAGAGGACCGTGGAATCCGTCCTTTCGTGGTAGCGCTTGGAGATGGAAAGGAGATGTGTAAAGGTGTGACTTCGGTGTAAGTCGAAGGATTTCGCATTTATTGTAACCGCTTGGATGCTAACAGAACATAGTCTGCTCCCAGAATTAGGCGGCATCAAAGCTCCTTATGCCATCACATCCTTCGACCAAGTGTCTTTACCAGCAACTGCACTTCTGGGGAGTCTCGAGAAACCGGCTAACATGCGAGAACATTTCTTTTCCACGATATGGCGAATTCCAATTGGAACACTTGCCATGAGTCTCATCATGATCCCAGCCCTCAAGTGCGTTTCCTACATTGTAGGGAAATACAGCCTGCGCCGAACAGTCCATGGCCTTGATAACACCAGAATCCCAATTATCACCTTTCGTACGCAACAGCTACCGATCCTGCATGCGCTAGCACAGCTCAGTGTCATGGAGCCCTTTGCAAAACACATAATCTCACTGTTCAAAGACACTTCTTTGAAAAGTGAAGTCCGGCATGGGTATGCTGTTATCCTCAAGGCAGTTTTCCTTCAATATGCTCAGCGCAGCATTCCACAACTTGTCGAACGGTGCGGCGCACAGGGCTTGTTTCAGCATAACCAGATTTGTGACGCAGATGTAAGTTGTAATTCCCCAAGTCTGTCCTGTCCAGTGAACCTTCCATTATTAACAGATCTTGAAAAAGAATCTTGTCCGTGCAGCTGCCATTTCAGAGGGGGACGCATTGGTTCTCAGCATTCGTGAGTCTCTAGAAAAACAATTAAATCATCCATTATACTGATGAAAAAGATAGGTCTCGCAGTCGAATTATTCCTTGGTCGATACACAATGCCCCCACCGACCAAGCCCGACTGCCTTCTTGCCCGATACGAACTTGGTTTAATCGAGGAGTGCGTGAAACTCATCGAGACGATCCCTGACGGTCATCACAGTCAGGAGTTTAACAGGCTCCTCATTCCCCGATGCCGACCGATTGTCGAGGCAGTTGGTCATCGGATGGCGTATGAGACAGCTCTTGCGTCCGGCGTCGACCCTGACTTGCTTGCCCTTTATGAGATGGGCATTGTGAAGGATAATCTCAGCTGGTTCGTCGAATCCGGCGGGCTTACCAGGGCCAGCGTGTTCGAAAAGGAAAACAAGGCCCTCGACGCCATTCTGCCGCGTCTCAACGATCTTTTGGACCAGTTAGACATCGCGCCATATTCTACTGCACCGATTATTTCGCAGTCGATGTGGGAGACTTTTGTCGGGGACTTGGAGGCGTACAGGGGCAACGCGGAATATCCCCTCTTTGATGTTGTTAACGGACAGTAGAAAGCGTCCAAGAAACGGTGTTGGTAGCGAGTTTGATAGTCTTTAGAGTGATTCGTTCGGTTATTAGAGTTACAATATCATATCTGAAATAGACTTGACTACCTGATGTTCTAAACATGGTAGAGGGTTTATCGAGCGACGTCCTACCTCCACCTGGTCAATCTGAAATGGAGAATGTATATGAAAAGCACAGTAGCCGACAATAATAATCATAAACATGCTGAGCAACTGGGGAATTGATCCAACTTGCCTGTGGTGAACGAACCATGGTACGCGGCAAAGATTGACGTCGCGATATGACGATGGAGAGAAACACAGCTTTACCCAGTTTCGCGGAGAATAATCATCTACCGCCCCCTTAGTCTACGATGGCTCCCTGACTCGTAACTGTCTGAACTAACGCTGCGGCGCGTTCGGAGTAAGCGGAGGGACCGGTGAGCCCAAAAAGGCCGGAAGACACGAGTTGCTCTAGCAGTCGTTATTGTTATGGTCCTTATTTCCCGATTACATTTCTCCTGTCAGGTTAACTTCAGTGATGAGACGAGATCATCTGTTAGCAGACAATCATAACCTTCGGTCTGTCAACTGAATCCATTCTGGTCCGATTCGAGAGCCGCCCCTTTGACGAGTCCATCCTGAAAGCCATTTCTCTACGAGGCATGCCCGCCTCACTCAATCCACCGATGGACCAGAATGAAAAAGGTCCCAACAGAACGCACAACAAAGCAACCTGTGGAAAATGGCGACATAGATGGTATTATCTCAGAAGAGAAGGATATGAACAAGGACACACTGCAGTCAGAAGGACAACTGGACGACGAAAATGCAGCGAATGCAGACCCTGAACGTGGTGGACCAGCGCCCATCAATCGCGACGAGGCGCCATGGTCGATTTGGACTCCCAGGCAGAAGAAAATGATCATCCTGGCAGCTTCTTTTGCCTCCCTTTTGTCTCCACTGTCCGGTCAGATTTACTTTCCGGCCTTGAACAGTATCGCGACGGATTTGCGTGTCTCTGACAGTCTGGTCAACCTGTCGGTCACAACGTACATGGCGGGACCTTTGATCCTGCTGATTGTCATTGCTTTCTGCCTCTCTGCCTCGCTAAACTGTATTGCGGTCTTGATGGTGGATCTGTATCCAGGCAAGGCAGGGACTGTGACCGCCTCGAACAATCTCCTGCGCTGCTTACTGGGAGCCGGTGCCACCGCGTTAGTCCTACCGATGATCAATGGTATTGGCATCGGATGGACGTGCTCGTTCTTTGGCTTCCTCAACTTTGCGACCACTCCTCTACTGTGGTATGTCATGAGGCAGGGTCCCAAGTGGCGTGCCGAAGCCCAGCAGAAGAAGCTGGATCAACAATCCAAGGCGCAAGCAAATAGCACCAGTAATAGTAATGGAGCTGTCAAGGAATATTAAACCCCAGACTGCTTCTTTATACACCGCTGGAAGATTAGGATTCATAAGAGGGACAATATTCTTTTAATTTGTTAATAATCCTACGATATAGACTTAGCAAAATCGATTCCTATTTTGTCATTAATCAAAGCAAAAAGACAAAGGTAGATGTAGGACAACGAGAGGTAGAATAGAAGCTCATCGAAAAAGGCATATGAGCTGAGTATTCCCTGCAGTGCAGATGTCTGTCCAGGTATCAGGATTTGAGAAAACAGTTGAATCTTCCTGTTCTGCTTGGACCATATGGTAGGAATTTGGTCCCCTTTATATTGCACTTGCTGCTTCATTTGCAACACCTTCTTCTATGTACTGCGCTAACTTGCATAGGAACCATTCTGGATTAGAAAACCCCAGAATCTTTGGCGAGTACTGGGCAAGAGGCAAAAATAACCAGACTGAATGGGGCCATCTCCCGATTCGAGCGAGTTATGTATGGTCTAATCATGTACAAAATGGGCCTGCAATGATTAGATTACTTTTCTGATTGCTTATACACAAGCTGAGATCAGGCCCAGATAATGCCATGCTCACTTTCACAGTAACAAGTAGGAGCATCTAGTGCTCAATCTCGACTGCTCTACCTTTAAATTCTGCCTGAGCGATCAAGGGAGAGTGATAATATAAAAGAGAGTACGGAAGATCGATGGTCTATGGTGCATCACGTGGGCGTCTACTTAAAATAGTCTGGGCGGGTCCCAAGGGCAATTTAGATCATATTAGATCATATTATTGGTCCAAAAGCCCCGTTGTTGTCCTTGCTGCAAGATAAGATTGGGTCGTATAAGCAAAAAATCACATGACTTTGCTCTCTCTGAACCAATCAAATGAGCCAAAGTAACGATCACATAAGAATTTCTACCAATCAGAAGCGAAAAAATACAGTCACGTGATGAATATTTACCAATCGGATCAAAGAGATCACGGGGTAATACTGCCTCGCTGCGCCGCCAATAACATGCCAATAGAGAAGTAGAGCATAATGGACAGTTCTTAGACAAGCGGTGAGTCATTGAAGCTTGTCAGTCATACAATTATCGACCACTGCACCACCAACGCAGCATCTTGGCAAAGCCTCACTGGATCTTATCAATGCCAGCAGTTGCTACCCAAGCTATCTAAATTTAGCTAGGCTGCTGGGCGGGGGATCAACCCGCGCGGAGGCGGCTCGACTAGCGGCGCTGCTATTCTTGTCCCGGTGAAACACGCGCCCTCTCGGCCAATGCTTGCCTCGCTTATCGCTGCGCCCGTGACGCCGCGCGAAGATCCTCTCCCCAGACAACGAGAAAAAAAGACTCATTCCTGTCTCAGTTACAACTCCGTTTGCTGCTGGCCATGGCTTGGCAGTCGCAGCTTCCGTTGGTCGCCCGACGGCGTTGCTGAGGGGAGTGTGTATAAGAAGGTAGGTGTCTCCCTAGGAAATGTTCTCAGAATCAGGATCGTTGTCCCGGAAAGGTTTCTAATTGTTGATAGTTTCTGTTTTCCTTTGCTGAGAGCGAAATCAGTCGTTACCCGTGTTCTTGTCAATCGCTTCACGATCTTCGTTACAGTGTTGGATTGTATACGACAGAACAGATAGTATATTGTTTAATTGAGTCCTTGACGATACACCATGTTGCGATCTCTCGTTGTTCTGCTTGCTTCGGCTCTCGCCGTGAGCGCAATCCCCCAGGCGACTCCCTCGCAGACGCCTTCTCCTTCTACAGAAACGCCGGGGTCCTCGACGACCGTAACCTCGCCGCCGTCCTCGACCATCACCCCGTCTCCGACTCTGAGCTGCTCGAATGGCTCGACGGCCGTGTACACCACTGACTGCACGATGGGATACCCAATCTCCTACTGCTATAGCCCGCCGCCACCAATCCAGTGCTCGTCGGGCTATTTCCCGGGCTCCTACGCCGCAGGACACTGCGACACCGCCTCGACGTGCTACCCGCTGACTGCGCCGTGGCTCACAACCAAGTGCTCGAATGGCGGGATTCCCTACTCGACGTCCACCCTGTACGTGGGAACTCTTGCGGGGGGTGTGTCAACTACCATCAGCAGTACGTATAGCCCTGCCTCTTTTTTTTTCTGGCGTCAGATGAGCCTGTTTTCTAACGGATGTCCGTTTCAACAGTGGTGCAGTGTTCCTGCGGCCGGGACCAGTGGTACAGTATGACACTGGCACCCGGCGCTTCGACCGTCGACACGTACTGCATGCCATACAGCAACTGTCCAGCCGGTATGACGACGTCGACGAGCACTGACTCGTACTGTGCGACCGCGCCGGCGAGCGCATGCTCCAACACCCCTCTCACGACGCCTTATTGTAAATGCGCCAATCCCACCCAGACGGCTGTCTACCCGCCTGGCGACGGTGCCACGGCGACGGGATGTGCTTGACGAGATAATACAGAAAATTGGTTTGATACGGAGTATATGAGAGAGTTTATTTGGACAGAGATGGTAATGATTTTTGGTTTTTCGGGATATATATTTTGGAACGGGACATAGCACATGATCTAGAACATAATGATGTATCTAGACTAGACTATAATATGGGAAGGTCGCAAGACTGTAATGAATGAATGGGCATTGATAATCTCATCGATCCTACTGAAGGTTAACGAAGGGGAAAAGGACCCGAAGCATGAAAACTAGAAGCCTAAAAAAAAAGGAAAGAAAGAAAAACAAGGAAGAAAGAAAAGAAAGAAGGGTGCATTTTTAACACGAAAAAAAAAACAAAAGAAATTTATCCCCACACAAGTATACGAAAGTAAAACACCTTCCATACTCGTGTTACCCATACCCATACACAACTGTACCATATTGAATGTCACACCTCCAAATATTAATATTGTCCCTCTCTCCACCGCAATACATGTATGTACTGTACATATATAGCTACATCGTAGCAGTCCATTCTTTCTTAAACAGTAATTCATCAATCCACAGCATCCATCCTTGCTGCTACAGGGCCCTTGAACAAGTTCAACAGTTAGTCTGGAAGAAAGAAAGAATAGTATAGTAAAGACATAAATTATCAAGAGTAGATGTCCTGTACTATACATATATCTAGGTAGATCATCTAGATGCTTCTCCTTCCTTTCTTGCTTGCATATGCATTTCCTTCCCCACAATGCATGAACACGAGGAGCTTCAGCAGGTCAAATTTGGTTGGTCGGTAAATGTACTATACATGTACATACTCTGTACGAGTTAGAAGTACAGGAAGGAAGATATTACTATATTTAAAGTTTCTTTTTTCTTGTGAATGTAGGATTTATTCATAGTTCCTTTGCTCCTGTATGCTTTCCAATTAGGAAGGTCCTTCCTTGATCACGTGTGTTGACCTCGACGTGAGAACTGCTATGTATGTGTAGATGTATCTATTGAGTTTAGATATTGATTACGTACATTCTATCACTGTATTCTATTTTTTTTATTTGTTCCTTTTCGTTGATTAACTCTTTTTTTTTATTATTAGTTTTTTAATTTGCATCGACGTGCAGTCATGAAAAATTCATGATCATAGATAGGGTTAGTCCATTCTAACTGTCCGTCAAAGCGCCTTCCAAGGAGAGGCCAGAAAAAGAATGAAATGAAAGAGGTAATAGTGGAAGAACAAGGATATAGGCAGTTCCCGTTCGAATAGAAGCGGTTCTTCTTCAGCCATGAACCTATGCAGGGATGCCTGCCCAGGAATATTATCCATTACCTGCTTGTTATTAAGATGACTAAGACTGCATACACCTGATATATCATATCAACAGTCATTTTTTGCTGTTTACGGCAGTGACACGTGGTCATATGACTTGATTTGTTGCAGACTCATGCCAGAACCAAGTCTGAGATGCATTAGGCCCCACCCTCAGCAGTGTTGAAATCTTTAATGAGTCGCTATGAAATGTCTGTGCGGGACATCGTAACATGTCTGTGCGACATATTGATTGCGATATGTCAGTGCGAAGACAGTGCAATGCAATATGAATGTCTGCTTTTCTACTTCCTCTTTAACAAGGCCGTCCCTTCTTTCATCGACTGCATATAAAGCAGAAAAAGAGAACTTGTCTCTAGCTTAGTTGACAGTCCAGTCGAGGATTCGATCAAATATGGGAGAATACATCTTGCAACAAAACCCGGACGCTTCTGTGCGGTACGCTGAACAGACAGGCAGCAGACATGTCGTTTAAACCTGCTAAAATGTCACCTCTTCGTGCTTAGACTCGACGCGCAGCATTTTCTTGCCAGAATGCAATTCGGGTACCTCCTGTATCCATCGATCCCAGTCACCGAAGGGATGAAAATCGCAGATATAGGGAGCGGAACAGGGTAGGTGTGTTGGTATGCTGTGCTCTGTTCTCCGGCTGATCCATCCATCAACTGTTGGGTTACATATGTATAAAGAATCTGGCTCCTTGAAGTAGCGACCACCGTACCAAAATCCGTCCAGCTGGACGGATTCGATATTTTTGACGATCAATACCCTGCCAAAGAATACCTGCCTGACAACATCCATCTGGGAGTGTTGGACGCGCTGGCCGATCATGTCCTGGACCATCTCCAGGGAATATGCAAAAAAGGGCACTGACAAGGGAAAAGAAAGATTGTCGTGATACCGGTTTGCCTACTGGAACAGGAAATGAATGATCGGATCCGTCTTCCGGGAAGACTTCATGGTCAAGAACGTGGTGAAAATGTCATAGGGCAGGCCTATCGAGAGTCTGCTGCTGGAAGACAGCACGGGCGAAAGTATAAACGAAGGATGGTGAGGAAAGTAGGTACTAGGAAAAAGAAAAACAATAAAAAATAAACCAATTGAATCTATATTCTATATACTATACTGTGTATACCATGGATCTACTATAAATCTACTTAGTATTTTCTATATCAGTAGATTATATCGCATGCATACATAGACTGAGGGACTATATAATTTCTAGCTCTACCATGTTTTCTCATCCAGCAAAAGGCTGTATGGAAGGCACCTATTTAAAAATTGATCTTCATCCCATCGGATTTGTATATCAATACAATCCAGTGATAAACAGGAGTCTGATCTTCTTGTGTTATTGACTCATGTACTGCATACGATGGACTGACTAATATCTTAGAATCAAGAGATAAGAGCCGCAGGGTTAAAAGAGAAAAAAGAGAAGGAAAATGTCAACTCCTGAACCCCATCCATCCATCATAATGCCTGCCAGTCCACAGGCCCGAAAAGGAACTTCCGACATGTCAGGTACTGATGTGATGTCACAGAAGCTGGTACGTTCTTGCGCGAATTAATTGAATTGCATTGAATTGAATTGAATTGCTCTTGGCGTTGGGGCTTCTCCAGGATTGCCCTAAAAGGAGATTCCGTGGAGCCTCAGAAAGAAAATACTGAGTACAGAGTAAGTAATACTCTGCAGCCGGGACGCAAACAAAGATAGCAAAACGGCCCTTTGAGTGGAGATCGCTATCAAGATAAGAACTTAAGACTAAACATACATACCTAATATATGTAGGGAATACCGCGATGAGTTTTCGAGAAGTACGGAGTAGCCGGTCCCACTTCCCATTTGGTCTGGACGAAGATGTTCCTGTGTCTACCTACTATCTAGGTAAAGTAACTAGTCTATGTTAAGCTATGATGGATTATGATAGGCAAGGAGATTTCAATTCGTGGTATCGTTTGTACATGTACCCGAGAATGGATACCGTCCACAGTCCAGGATCTGTAACACATGTGCACTCAAGCAAAGAAAAAAGTGTCGACAATGACGCCGTTGTTGGGGCTTAAGTGCGACAAATTCTAGAAATTCCACTGCCCGCAGATCATCATCCATTCGGAAATGATATGCAACGGCGGCTGTGGCGCCGGGCTTGGTTTGTGGGGGCGGGGAATCATCCTGGGGATATTTTTCTCGTCGATCTCGGAGTACCTAATTAGGTAAGTATTGTACATACAAGTAGGTATGTATCGCCATTCATTCATTCATCCATCGAAGAAAGCTCTCCATTCAATTCAGTCAAATTACTTCAACAAAGACACCTTACAAAAATGCAGCTCAAGACCATCACCCTCGCATTCCTCTTTGCTCTCACAGCATCCGCCGCCGCGGTTGAGAAGATGGGGGACGGACAGGAACCGCCTGCAGGGATCTGTGGCAATACTGGCTTTGATGACAAGGACTGCAATACCTGGGTGAGTATCTTTCTCTTCTTTTTGTCTCGTTTCTGTTTTTATTTTAAACTGATGCTGAGGGCTGCTACAGTGTGTTGCACATAAGTACAAATCTGGGTCGTGCCATTTCTACTTGTGAGTGTTACATCGAATAATATTTCCTTCCTTTGTAGACATCCAACTCCTTATTTTTCCTACCCTAATATAACTAATTTCGCGACAATCTTTTGCTAATTTCTTTTTCTATTTTCCTTTCTACAGCGGCGACAACGTGGAGTGTGACTGCCAGTAATAATCAGCGATAAAAAAAAGTCTGAACTGGAGATCAATTTTGTGGGGAAATGGTCAACAATGGAATATACAAGTGGCATATTGCAGGATTAGCTATGTTGGTGTGATATTTTATGCATTAATTGTATGTATTATTACTAAGAATAGCAGATCAAAATCGATTAGCTATAAGTTGTCGTCCGAGTATGTCAATGACATTGGCACACCCGCTAGCATAGCATACTGTCAATACAGTAAAGATATGAACTGACTAATACGAGAAGTCTGAGTATGAAAAGTCTTCAGTAACAAGGAAAGTCAAATATGAGAATAGATGGATTGTATGCTTAGTTCGATCAACTTGATCAGCTTGTATCTTCTTCGAGGATTCATTTGCTTCATATGACCCAGATCTCCTAGCTGCTTACAGATTTCCTATTCTTCGTAAGAGTTACAGGAAAGTGGGAATTGTAAACTATAGTTTAGAACTTATTCTTACTCACTCATGTGATACTGAATACCTGTCGTAGGACTAGCTAAAACGGATATCATTCAGAGTATAGCATCGATAAGAAATGGTAGAATACGTATAAAGGACAGTCTGTCCCAGGATCTTTCTACTGCCACGCTCACACCTAAGACCAGTAATATAAGGCCAGAGAGAATGCAACAAAAAAGTCTTCTATAGAATATATAGTTTACAGTATAGTGATAGCCTTAACTATACAAAATCCCCTAGTCCATCCATTTCCTAACAGACAGCTTGTCCTATGGCGTATCCTTCGTGTATTGGATTTGGATCTTGGACATACAGAATGGATATTATATCCAAACTGACTACTTTGAAATTCGTTAAGCTTCTCCTTATCGAGTGAATCCTGAGTAAAGTTGCTTTAGGCATATATTTCTTCCTCTATCCTAATGCCATCTCACCATCTGTATGCATCATTTCGAGATGTTCTCAGTGACGTTACACCTTCTATCACTGACCGATTAGGCACTGGTCAAGATTCTGCAGTAGTGGGAAAATGGCAGTATACAGGGAAGAATTTCTCCACAATATCCTTTTTGTAAGAACCATCATTACTTAGGAAGTGACTATCTAATTCCATCGGCCAGTACATAGTAGCTAGGATCAATAGATTGGCCATCCGAATGGTATCTATCTAAGCAGGGAGCAAGTGTTGCCTGACGGGATATAGAGAAAAGATGCAAGCACAGCATTAAATAAACGAATTACTGCTGCCAATGAGCTCCTTGATTATCTGCGAGAATGACCCTGCTACAGTCTTGCTGCTAAAGGTATTAAAGCTGAGAATCTTGGTTACTGTAGTCAACTAGTTCTCTTTCTCTCCTTTTTTTCTCTTCTTTTGACTCTTTTTATGCTGTTGAAATGCTTGCAATTTATGAGTCAGCACCTAATATACAGTCTGGTAAATAAATCCCTTACACAAACCAAGCAATTCAAAACCAACCCCAATAAATACTCTAGACCCTTTACTCGCCAACTAACATCACTATTTTCAAGTTAACATATGTCCATTAGTCCTTGATAATAATAATAACATTTACCACCTCAGTTAATGTACATACATACATAGAGCGACAATCCCGATTGAGTATAAAAAAAGATAAATCGAGCCAATCACCAGCTCCATTCAAGCATCACATCAGGAAAAGCCTACTCCGTAAAAGCTTCTTTGCGGGTTGAGCTGCCTTGAATGTTTGACCCCTGCCATTTTTGTGCACAACCCCGCATTTCAGGTACGGAGTACTTCCATGCTGTTCTAATTATTATTAATCCTAATCGTTATTGGCCAATGGGAGCTATTCCGTAATTAATCTAATTCATTCTACCGAATTTGTGACGCAACAGCGGGGCACGATGTCTGCGTGTAAATGATGAGGGGTAGGGGTGGAAAAATACGTACCTACTACTATTAGATTATTATTATTCTTGAGGTAGATTCTATCATTTTCCATTTGAGTAGCAGCTGCTGAGAACTACATATTAAATTGAACTCAATTTGAAGCTTCGTAGCTCCTTTATCCATGGATAGAGGATGGACGTCAGTGCGAAATAAAAAGGAACCAATAATGCAATGACAGTCATGAAAAGTTTTTTTTTCTATTTCTCCGACATTTCCTCCGAACTCTGTCAACCCCTAATAAATAAATCAATCAGAATGTACTGTACAGACAACATGACTGGTCAACATGTAGTCTCAGTACATGAACGTACTTTTTGCAAGAATGATCCTTCTCCTTTCACCTCCCTTCATACAGAGTAGTACTGCACTACTTATACTACTACTGTACTATGTAGAGTACCACCGGAGATACACCGAACGGACTTCTCAGCCGACACTCCGCAGGATCCAATCCATTACCCCACTATCCATCCATGGATACATCCCAGCTTGTCTGTCTGGCTAGCTAGCTACATTATTTAGTCTAGTTAATAAATGGTGCAATCGACGCCAGTACCTTCTAGGTAGGTCGATGGCTTAGTTGGGTATGTAGAGCACATAACTGTGTCTATCTACGAAGCTAAGCTAGCTATTATTAGTCTTGAGAGCTGTTAGCCCTTCCTTATCCTTATATATTCGCGTCGTGCCCGCATTCGTATCTCCATCTATTCTCTCTCTCGTACTGTACATACATACCGACAACACATCTCCCACTGAGGAATTACTACTTGCAGACTGACGCCATGGCGGACAAAAACCTCCCTCCGATGGAGTACCGTTTCCTCGGCCGCACCGGGCTTCAAGTCTCGGTCATCTCGCTGGGTGGCTGGCTTACGTACGGTGGGCATGTTGAGGATGGTGCGTAAATACACCCAAAAAAAAAGTGTTACGCGCGCGTCTAACGCCAGCATAGAAAGAACGTTCGAATGCATGAAGGCCGCTTTCGACGCGGGAATCAACTTCTTCGATACCGCAGAGGGGTACGCCGGTGGACAGTCAGAAATCGTCATGGGCAAGGCGATCAAGAAGTTTGGCTGGAATAGGCAGGATTTGGTTATTTCGACGAAGGTCTGCACATTGCATCATTTGCATCAGCGGGGATATTATGCTGACTGTGTATAGATCTACTGGGGCCAGGCCAACGCCAAAGACCCCCAAAACCCCATCAACAACAAAGGCCTCTCCCGGAAACACGTCATTGAAGGCCTCGATCTCTCTCTCAAGCGTCTCGGCCTCGACTACGTTGATATCGTCTACGCACACCGGCCAGACCGCCACACGCCCATCGAGGAGATCGTCCGCGCCTTCAACCATGTCATCAACACCGGCAAGGCGTTCTACTGGGGCACCTCGGAGTGGTCAGCCAGCGAGATCGCCGAAGCATGGCGCGTGGCGGACAAGCTGGGCCTGATCGGCCCCGTGGTCGAGCAGCCGCAGTACAACCTGCTGGCGCGCGAGCGCGTCGAGGGCGAATACCGCTGGCTGTACGAGGAGCACGGGCTGGGGCTGACGGTGTTCTCGCCGCTGAAGCAAGGTATCCTGACGGGCAAATACAACGACCAGCCCGCGCCGCCGCCGGGCAGCCGTCTGGCCGAGGGCAAGGGCAAGGACCAGTTCATCACCAACTTCGCCAAGACGTTCGGCGACGAGACGTGGCAGAAGAACCTGGCCATCGTGGCCAAGCTCAAGCCCATCGCTGAGGAGCTGAATGCGTCGCTGGCCCAGCTCGCGCTGGCCTGGGCGCTCAAGAACCCCAATGTCTCGTCTCTCATCACGGGGGCGTCGAGGCCGGAGCAGATCTACGAGAATGTGCGCGCCCTCGAGGTGGCCAAGAAGCTGACGCCTGAGATTCTCGAGAGGATCGAGCAGGTGGTTGGGAACAAGCCGAAGGAGGAGCCGCTGCGATTTTGATAGACGTTTTCTTCGTCGCCTTTCATGGTTTAGTATAATGAATCCTAGACGCAAACATACAAAACACACGTACAATAACATCACGATTCTTTAGTCAGTCGTCATTAATATACTTCTCGTAAACGTCCGCGTAAAACTTCCTCCCCACATCGCGATGACTCCGAATCTTGGTCCGAAGCTGCGACTCGCCCCAAGTATCATACTTCCCTCTAAGAAAAGGCGAGTCGATCTGGGCCTGTTCACTCTCGCCCTCTTCATCATGGCGACGGAAATGCTCTTCAAAATGCCCCCTCAACGTCTCCACCGCCTCTGCCTTGGTCAGACTGCCCCGCACGCCCTGGAAGAAAGGCACGCTGAACCGATCGTGCGGACCGGAAAGCACGCGATGCACCGTCGCCTTGCAGACCCCGGTGGTCACGACTTCGAAAGCCTGGCCGATGTTGACGACGAACGTACCGGGGATGGCGGGGACGTCGATCCATTCGCCGTTGCGGTTGAGGGCTTGCAGGCCTTTGGTTTCCGGGGGCGATGCCTGCAGGAGGAATGTCCACCATCCGGAGGAGTCTTTGTGGGGGCCTACGCCTTGACAATTGTCTGAAGAGGGATCTGATGCGGGATAATGGACGAGCTTGAGACGGTGCTGGTCAGACAGGAAGGGGAAGAAAGTATCTGATGGCAGAGACAGCGCTTCAGCGACCAGACGGAGGAATCGCTCGCCCAGGGCAGTGAGTTCGCGAATGTATGTCTCGACGATTGGGCGGAGAGCGGGGTACGCAGATGGCCACTATACATATCATCAGCATATTGAAAGATTCAGATATAATAATACCTACCTGATTCGGCCCCTTCAACCTCTCATACAACGGAATCCCGCATCCAGGAGCCCATCTCTCCTCCAGCTCAGTCGCAAACTCGACCTGCTCTCTCCGATCGGTCCTGCCGGCCGTCATCTCGGCGCCCACGCTGCTGTAGCCGAGGAAATGCGGCGAGTTGCGCAGCGCGATCTCGTCTTTGGCCTGCGCGGGCAACGCGAAGAGCTTTGGCAGCGCCTCGACAAGATCGGAAATCACCTTCTCGGGGACGCCATGGTTGGCTACGTACAGGAAGCCGACGGAGGTGAGGGCGTGGCGGAGTTGGTGGAGCAGTTCGCTGCGAGTGCTCGGGGACGAGGCGAGCGAGAGGTCGATGATGGGGATGGAGGTGAAGGCGTGGGAGAACATGTCAGTCGTATACTATGTCATGGCAGTTGGTATTGTTGAGTTGTATAGTTACGGAGAAGATAGTTATGCATGGTTGTGTGGGGTAATTAATGACAGATGAAGATGATGCAATTGTCTCCACAGTCATCGCAATCAATCAGAATTAATTTACCAGCAGTTAGCAGCTATCACCAATAATATCTTATTCTAACACTCTGAATATACTTATCAAAAAGCCCAACTGAAAATTTCACTTCTAATGCATATTCAAGTTCCCTGCTGGCGAACAACTTCTATATCTGTACAGTACCTGCATGTATAACGTTACACCATAAGCAGGTTATTCCTGATCGCGCTACTCTGTACTACAATTACTGCACACGTCTTCCTAGAGCTAACAGAATGGACTGGACAAGTCTTAGGACTGATGAAATAGATGCTTGATCTGGATATGCAACATGCCGTCTTTGTTGCCATTGCTATTATTATTGTTTTACTGTCTCAGGAATGCGCTGGACACACTATGTCGTACTGCATGTACAACCTCCAGCATACCAGAAGCATAAACAGGTGATACCATCCTGCTTGTATGACAGGCACGCGGGAGAGAATGTTGCTGTATGTATGTACAACATCTTTGTAAGCGGATGGACCTGGCTCACCTGGACGATATTAAAGATAGACAGCAAAAAGCCAGCGACAATCTTCAATATTATAATATCATTTATTATTTTCGGCATCTGCCAACATGACATTCAAAGTCCTCATCGTCGGCGGCAGCATCGCCGGCATGGCACTCGCCAACATGCTCGAGACATACGGCATCGCGTACGAGCTTCTCGAGAAACACGCCGTCATTGCACCCCAGCTCGGCGCCAGCATCGCCCTGTTGCCCAATGGCTTCCGGATTCTGGACCAGATAGGGGTGTGCGAGGTCATTGAGCGTCTGAGCGTGGCGATGGACTCCATGGCCAGGTTCGATCCAAGGGGGCGTCGGCTGCGGGTGTATGACGAGTATGGGTATTATCTGGAGGGGATGTAAGACACAAAGATATATATACATACAGTTAATATGTACAGTACAATATATTAAATATTACTGATGACGACAGGACAGGGTACAAAATGCGCTTCCTCGACCGACAGCAGGTCATCCAAGCGCTGTACGACAACCTCAAGGACAAGTCCAAGATACACACCTCTTGCGAAGTCATCAAAGTCGAATTCTTGGGCTCCGAAGTAAAGGTCGAGACGACAGACGGCTCTGAATTCACTGGCAGTATCGTCGTCGGCGCCGATGGCGTGCATAGTCGCATGAGGCAGGAAATGTGGCGGATTGCAGACGCTGAGATTCCGGGTTTTATCTCGGACCGCGAACGAAAATGTCAGAAATCCTTCCTCTCTGAATACATTACTATCAGTTAATTGACTCATCTCAGCGATCACATGCACATACAGCTGCCTGTTCGGCATATCTGACTCGCTCGAGGCCATCGAAAAGGACCCCGGCTTCAAAGTCTTCAAGAAACACCGCTCGTATCTCTTCCAAGCCGGACCGGACGGAAAAACGTACTGGTTCGCCTTCTTCAAGAACGAAACCAGGACAGTTGGCCCGGATATCCCCCGCTACACCGTCGACGACGAAAAGACGCTCGCGGCCAGGACCGCCGACGACGTGCTCTGCGAGGGCCTGACCTTTGGCGAGGTGTACGTCAGGCGGCTGTATTCGGTGCTGGTGCCGCTGGAGGAGTACGTGCTGGACAGGTGCTTCTACAAGCGAGTTGTCCTGCTGGGGGATTCATTCCACAAGGTATGCTAGATGCGCTAGATAGTGACATAGGTCTGACCGCGTAGATGAATCCCATCACCGGACAAGGCGGCAACTCTGCCATCGAGTCTGCTGCCCAGCTGGCAGATCTGCTGCTGGAGCTGGTCCAGCGGAATGCGCTCGATGGCGACAGCATCCAGCACGCATTCGCTAAATTCCAGCGCGTGCGCAAGCCCAGGACAGAGCGTCTGATGGAGGCCGCACGCAGCACGCAACAGCTGGATTCGCTGGACAACCCGTTTCTCAAAGTCATCAACTTGCAAGTCATGGGCAACCTGGGCATCGAGCCCATCATACCTCGAATCGCCGAAGCCTTGATCCCGGGCTGTAGGCTGCGATACCTGCCTCCGCCCAAGCGACGGGGCATCGTCGCATGGGAAGACGAGGTGAAGATGACGCTAGAAGACAGGCCTGTTGCCGCGACGGTGGTTTGGATCCTTCTGATTCTTGTTGCGGCCTTAGCGCCGTGTATCCTCAAACGATATGCTGCACCAGCAGTCGTTGACACTAGTCCAGCTGGATCGTCCCTGCTGCAGCTGTACGCCGCTATCTCTGCCGTCGCCATTCACGGACTGTGGATGATCGAGTCGTATCGAAGGAGTTTTTGGTTCTCTCCGCTTGGCAGGTATTACTCACAAACACATATCCGGACGAACAAGCCTAATTAATTCCCTTTGGTGAACATCACAGCGCCATCCCATTCCTCCTCGCTGCACAGTTCTTCTCCGTCGTCACGCCCATCTACTTCATCCTGCACATCGCGCTCAGTCGCGACAAGATGTTCTACTACCCCTGTCCACGAGCCATCGAACCGGACGTCGCGAAAGCCTTGGCCACGGGGCTGGCCTGTATATACTTTGTCCCGATCGTACAGACGGTGAGCAGCCTGGGAGAGCTCACCCACGACGGATCCGTATCCGCACTTGTCCGGGCATGGAACATGACGCATTTCGGCGTTTTGTGCAGGGAGCTTTTCAGCCTGATCCCTGCAAGAACAACGACAGAAACAAGCGCAAGAACAAGAAAAGACGGACCAAAAGAAATGTTCGGCGCTCTCGACATGCCCTCCCTTGCGCGGTTGTATGCTTTCTTCTTCGCAGTTACTAGCGTTGCGCACGTCGTTTTCATTAGCAAGTACACGTATGCCCTGAGGAACACGTATTCCCTCACGGGGGCAGATGATATAGCCAACCTCTCCTCCCTCTCCCTAACCATTCTCACCTGGTGCCTCTTCACAGCATGGGACCTGCGAAGGGTGAATATCGTTGAAAACGATATTTTGCTCCGACGGGCTTGGCTGGCTGTCGTCATTGGTTCGGCCGTGGTTGGTCCTGCGGCAACGCTGGCTGCGACGTGGTGGTGGCGGGAGAGGGAGATGGAGAGGGCGAGGGGGGGAAAGAAAACTCAACAAGAGAGTGAATGGGGTTGGGAGGGAAAAGAAATGAATCGAGCTTATTAAATGGCTGAGTCAAGAGTTATGATAATGATGATGATGATAAGCTGGGCTGCGACAGCTCGACTGATGTTGTGATGAGGTGAAAGAGAGAGGGAGCCGTGACTGAGGAATGAAGAAGGAACGTGGGGAGATAGATAAATGAGAATTTTATAAATAAACAAAATAAAATAAAACAAAATAAAATAAAATAAAATAAAATAAATATTATTATTCTATTCAATCATACACAGCTATCATAGTGATAGTATAAAAATAGATAGTACAGTACAAAGACCAGAAGAAGGTCAACGACAGAAACAATAATATTTTGTAAAGTGCATGCCACAAGCCAAAATTAATGGGCCTTTTCATTTACTTTTCTTTCAATAAGATCTCCTCCTGTCACATGCACACCGATTGTTGATAGATAGCATATAGTAGATAGAAATCGCGTCTAGTATAGATAAGTACTTATCTCCCCGCTAGAAACCATTTTTTAAACAGCCTCCTCACTCGGCCCGTCGGACGACTCGGCTAGCTGCTTCTCCAGCTCCCGTCTTTCCTCCTCAGTCGCGTCAGTGACGTGGACGGCGACGTCTTCACCAAACTTCTTTGCGATTTCCTCCAGGCTCAGGCGGGCGGTTTCGGGGAAGAAGAAGTAGATCACTGCAGACGCAGACGTCAGACATGAGTTAAAGTTCTCTTTTATCAAGCATGTTCTATGGTTTGGTCATACCTGGCAGAAAAACGACAGACCAGCAGATGATGACTAGGTAGTACTTCCAGCCTACGTTGTTGAAGCCAATGGGCGCTGTCTGCAGGAGGATGATAGTTGCTGCTGCACGTTAGGCCAGTTCTCTAGTCTAGAAAGTGCTTACGCACCTGCAAACTGCCCAAATAGAGAGAATCCCATCCCAATCGGCCGGATCTCCGTGGGGAAAATCTCTGACACGTAGAGATACATGGTCGTGTCGCAGCAGGTGCTGACAGAGTTAGTTTTGTCGCAAGTCGCATGGGAAAGAAATACACCCACCCCTGGAAAGCCAGGTAGAGGAAGATGAAGAAAATGCCCATCGCGTTACCTGCCCGATTCTTCGTGCCGGCATACTCGGCTGTCATCGCGGCAAGACAGGAGGTCGTCACGATGATCCCAACAAAATCAGTCATGAACATGCCTCGGCGAGAATTCACCTTGTCGTGCAGCCAGGACCCAAGCGGATTGTAGATGAGACCTAAACCATCAGCTTAGACAATCGTACCACTTTTCCTCTTGAGAATCTTACCAGCCGTAGTAAGCCAGAGCGCACTCAAAAGCAGCGGCATGCTGCCCGTCATCCCGAGGTTGGTGTACAGGAGCACGGCGTAGTTGTTCTGCAACAATCAGCAGGCAATCCAGTTCATCGTTTACTACCACGTACAATAATCAGTGGCCCACCAAACTCGGCTCCCCACTGCGTCAAAAAGCCAATGATCATTCGCTTTCTGTACGACTTGATCTTCCACACGGCCGTCCAAACGCTGTGGCCGGTTGCAGCCAGCTTCTGCGCCTCCAGTCGAAGCTGCTCCTTGGTCTGGTAGAACTCCTCTTTGGCCACCAGGTCGTTGGGATCGTCGGGGGACTTGCGCAGCCGCTTCAACACCTTCTGCGCCTCGTCCATCTTGCCTTTGGAGATCAGCCACCGAGGGGAGCGCGGCAGCCACGGAGATCCCAGCAGCAGGACGAGAGGCGGAAAGCACTGCAGCGCAAGGGGGAATCGCCAGCCAAATGAAGGCATTGTGGTCTCCGCGAAGTAGCATCCAAAGCCCACCCAGCTGGACAGCATGTAGCCAAAGACGAGGAAGATGGCATGATGCCCGACCAGCCAGCCGCGTCGGTAGGGACTCGATAACTCGGACAGATACATCGGACAGACAGTGACGAGGATTCCAATGCCCAGCCCGCAAATGAACCGCCCAGCATGGAACATCCTATACAGTTAGTTGTGGCCAACTTATCAATGGAAGGTCCGGGACACACTTCAGATTCTCTGCACCTCCCTGGAGCGCTCCCCCTAGAACACTGAAAAACGCGCCCAGCTGGATGTTGACCTTGCGCCCAAAGTAGTCGCAGGACCACATGATCAACAGCGAGCCCACGGCGCCACCAGCGCTGAAGACGCCATTGGCAGTTGCAATGGCCGGTGTGGTGATTGACGCATATCCGGGTTCGCCCTCCTGAGGAAGATGGAAGTACGAATACCAGCCCGGCTGGCCGATGGTGCTGCTGATAATCGACGCGCAGTAACCGTAGGTCTGCAATGGACATATTCTATGAGCATTGAGAAGCGACATGCGCATCTGAATCACTCACCAGAGACCCAATTGCCACGAAGACGATGACCAGCCTGCTGTAGAAGCTGGTCTGAGTCCCAAAGTCTCCCATTTTCCGGTTCTCAGCGTCCCTCTGAGACCGTATTACTGCAGAATATGGCAGGGAAGCGAATGAGCAGGCAATTGATTTGCGTGAAGCTGACTAGAGGGGGAGGTAAAAAAAAAATCAGAAAGAATCAAGTCGAAATTCAACGGTCTCACGAGCTGTTGTTTCATCACAGCATTGCCAACGTGATCACAAAATCAGTCATCCCTGACAGCGGAGGGGAGACTGGCTAAGTAGGGCGTACTCCGTACTCCGTACCGCGCACTGCGTCGTACAGACCCAGCGCCATATCGAAGCGGTGCCACCAGCGTCTCGCTTGCCGCTGTCGAGCCATTTTCGGGCCTGATCGATCGGAAAACAATCCGCTTGCTGTCGAGGAAATGAACAGACAATCTTCATAGCGCCTAATAATTAACTTTGGACTCCCCCGCCATGCATCGACCGGGCAGACATTCGTCACGGCGATCCCTGGCTGATGTGGAGTATAACGTGCAGAGACGAAAAGACGAAGTGGATGAGAAGTTGCAAGGGTGTGCTGTTAGTGCAGACGCGGTCTGGCGCCACGTCTTCCGCGGCATCAGTCAGCCTGCAGTATGCAGACAGCCGGTACCAGGGACCCTCGTTCGAGCATTGACATGAAGGGCAGTCTGAGACGAGATAATAGGGATGTGCGATGTGCTGTGTTGCTGTTGCTGTAAATTACTCGTACAGCGCAATTACAACTCAGTTCGTGCCACACAATAGCAGTACGGAGTATGGCGATATACAGCGCATTGACTCGAGACTAAGCTGAATCTGGATATAAAGCAGACCACGTGAGGAATCTATCGCTGACCGCCTACCCAGAACAGCTTTTATGATGCCGAATCTGGAATCCAGGTACAAGCCACGGTTATGGTTTTACCCAGATAGGCAAGTATCTGTAATTTTAAGCTTAACCGGCGGCAAACGTGGACAACGGTATTACAACCCCTCGTTTTCGCCCCTTATCCTGCATGCCCCTCACAATGCATTATAAAATTTATAACGCAGCCTCAAGGCATTGAGATAAAACTCGTAGCAGTTGAACTCGCATTGACCATGGCTAGCAAATCTCCCTTTGACATTCCCTTCGATGAACTCCCCAACCCCAAGCAGGTGTGGGTTGGCGCGCCCGGCAGCCATGAAGAAGGCCTCGGCAAGCTTGCTCTGCTGACCCCCGAAGTCGTGGCCCGGGCAGCAGCCAGCGAGATCAAGACCGGCCGCAGAGTGACCATGAACTGGGACCTGACCAAGCTGGACTACCCGGGGCTGGGTCGGACGCCCTGTCAGCATCAGATTGTTCCGCTGCTGGGCGGCATTGCCTACGACGATATCTATACCTTCAATCCTCGTAGGTCTAGACAACGTGGTGGTGTTGTGGCAAGTCTACTTGCTAATTGATCACCAGAACAAAGCAGTCAATGGGATGGGCTTCGCCATTTCTCGCAGACAGTGCCAGGTCAGACCAAGCGGGTCTTCTATGGCGGAACGACGGCGGAGGAGATCAATGACCGAAACAATGACCGAATTGGGCTCCAGCACTGGGCGAAAGAAGGCATCGCAGGTATCTATCCGTTCTCAGTCCTGATCAACCCCTCTTCAGTTCATATTCTGAGCCTATGTTTTGTGCGACAGGTCGAGGGGTTCTGATTGACTACGCCGCATGGGCGGAAAAGCGGGGCATCAAGTACACCACCTTCTCGCAGCATCAGATCAAACTGTCCGACATCCTGGAAATCGCCAAAGAATGCAACATCACCTTCCAGAAGGGCGACATCCTCCTCATCCGGATCGGAGTCACCAAGGAGTGGGACACCATCATGACTGAAGAGCAGAAGAAAGCGTACTCCCAGAACCCTAACCCCCAGCACGCCGGAGTCGAAGCGACGGTCGACGTTCTGCGCTGGCTGTGGGACACGGGCTTTTCTGCCGTTGCGAGCGATGCGATCAGCTGGGAGGTAAGCCTCAGATCCAGTTTATAGACGTCCTGTCGATACTTACGGAGAGCAAGGTCTACCCGCCCGTGAATCCCGAGTTGTTCCTGCACGAGTACATCATTGCTGGATGGGGAATGCCAATTGGTAGGAAGAGTTCTCCGACCAGTAGGCAGACTGCGCCAGGCTGTGCTGACCATGCTCCAACAGGAGAAATGTTCGATCTGGAGGCGCTGTCGCGGACCTGTGCTGAACTGCAACGATGGACGTTTTTCGTGGCGTCGACGCCATTCAACATGCCCGGCGGCGTGTCTTCGCCTCCCAACATTATGGCCATTTTTTAGCTGGTTGCCATATAGCTGTTGATACCGACATATCTATATAATACATAGTGTTAGTTTCGATGGTCTAGACTTTTGCATAATTATGCAATTACATAAGTGGCTATCAGAGCAGCGGTAATCTCGTGAAGGAGTGTATTAAGCAAGCAGAAGCATGGACCAGGTGATTGCGAAGAAACTGGCCGTGCGCCATGAACCGACCAGCTGTGAGCCTCGTCACTATAGACTACCGCATAATTCGTCTTAATACGAGCCAGGGTACCTCAAGGATCGTCGAGGCAGTGCTAGTGAATGCACAAGCGGCACAGGACGCGAGACAGTCGAGAATGCGCGAAATAAAGGAGAGCGAGAAAAAAAAAGCAATGTGAAATTGTGACGAAAAGATCCCTGTCTAGTCACATGTTTCGTCAGGGCAGGAGGATTGCTATTGGGAAGGAATTACCAGCCTGGGACATTGGCAGCCCCGGCCGCACCTTCCGGAACAAGGGTTTGCTCCTGCCTAGCCCTACCAGCATTTTTACGGAAGGAACGAGGCGACCAGAAAGTGGGGCCCGCGGCGGCTACCAAGACTGCCAAGGCACCGGCGAATCGGCGATTGGCGCTTACCCCGGTTCCTTCCGCCGTTTAAGCTTGCTGTCACCACAACCTAATTTCTTGTCCGCCCAATCAGCAACCATGCACTAATACGTAAACGGCTATTCGTCGGACGCGTCCTGTCTCGACAAGCCTGTCTATAGTAGCATATGTATTGTTTTATTATTATTATTATTATAATCAGGTTTAACGTCCATACCGAGCCTTTCGGCTATGACAGACCCCGATTCTTGGGCAGAAGCCCCTATTAGTCCCTAATCCCATCTTTGGCCATTCTGAACCTTTTCCTCGCCCCAGGCCGCCTAGTTGCGTAGGGCTTTTGGGCCTTTATAAGCCCTCCTTGTTGCCAGTGTCAGTATGGGTGTCGCCTGCCTACTGCAGGCCACCCTCCCCTATTATCCTTCTCCCTCACGTTCTGCCTCCTCTAGGGCTGCCAGCCCCCATTCATCATCCTTCCGTGTCCTCTCGGCTGCTCGAG